ATCTCCTTCATCTTGTATCATCAGTTCTGGATCGTATGTGAACAAATCACGGCCACTCATCCCAATCTATAACATCCACAATATTTGGAAGACAAAATGCATGTCAACATAACCTTGGAAGAATGAATTTATTATGTAAAAACTTCGTGTCGTTAAAATAAGTCTTATGTAATTGCTGGTAAAATACTTGATGTGCATCAAATTCCGTTAAAGTTCTTCCTAATAACATATCATTTTGAAAAACTTCCTCAAGAACAACTTTATTTCAAATAAGACCTGCATTCAACTGAAGATGACAGAAAGCTACTGCATAAGTGAAAAGTAAGTGCATAGTAAACAAGGAAAATCTCACCGATTTACCCGTCTTAATGTTTTTCTTTTTCTCTTTCTCTTCTTCCGCAATTTTCCTTTTCCGTTCTCGCAACTTCTTCTTCTTCCAGGAGATAAATGTTTCTAGCGTCACTTTCGTAAGACTTTCTGGCTTAAGTTCTGCACGCTGAAATGTTATGTGTAAAGATCAAAAACCAATAACATGAAATTTTGCAAAACTCTAAACCCTTTCGAACTTCAAATACAATACCTCCTTCTCGAGGAGTTCTTCCAGGCTGACTTCGTTCAGTCTTTTGTGCTCTTCCAACTTCTTCTTATCTTTCTTCAGAATATAACCTGATGGCAAAGCATGCCTATAAATACAACCGTCACCATTTGGACATTCCCAAAACCAACCATATTTGTTAGTCTCAACAGCTTCCAGAAAATATTTACAAACCTGGAAAGAAAAGCAAAACTCATATCGACGAAAAAAGTTATTCAGCAATATATGTTTGTTATGCACACAGAAACTTACAATATCTGTTTGATTTGGCCTTTTCCTATCATGTTCTCCATGTTTTTTCTCGGCGACTTCGTTTAATTTAAACTCATCCCATTCATCTATGTTATCTGAAATCGCTAATGTCTATGAATATCAGTAATTCCACCATTAAGACTTTGCCGGACTAGCGAGATGATGATAGCAGAAAGAAACAATTTTCTCCCACCTCCTTCCCTTTGCTTCAGACGCTCCACTTTTATTGCAGGGGACAAACAAAGATATAATATCTACCGTCTTCTTTTGATAAATCTCGGCTGTCAACATAAAGATTCTTTTTAGCTGTCTTCTGCTCTTTCGATAAGTCGTGACTAAATTTGCACTTTTCACCCTTATGGCATATTCCTTGTTTGTAAAACAAACAAACCACTGATTTAGGATCGATGTCTGCAATTGAAAGAAGTGGACCATGTCAATATCAAAGAGATATCACTGTTACTAAATGCTGTTGCCTAAAAATGTAATTAGCATGCTTCTGATAAAAATGATACACATTAAACAGAAAGAGATCAAAATTTTCGCATTCTCTGGCACAGTTAAATACTTACTTTAGGGAACACAACAAAATGCCGTCAATGATAAAAAGTTCTCTTAGCAACCATTCAAATCAAGATATACCTCGCGCAACTTTAGGCATCTCGGTCACCGGTTTCAAAAGTTTATTCAAGTCCCGGAGTTCACCATCAGCTGCTTTCTTCTTGGCCGCAGCTTTCTCTGCATCAATTTTCGCATGGTTCACATTGCCGTGTTTAATCTGCAAAATAAAATGACCTGTTTAATAATCATATCTAAATTAAAGTTAGGTAATGAGCCATCATTCTATATCTGATACAACTCTCATCCTTTATATAGACAACAATGAAAGTATTACTACAGTATAGTGCGTAACAATGCGGTGTTTCAAAAAGAAAAAAATATCAAAAGCATAGTTTGTTCAATCAGAGAAACTTATACATCGGAAATTCAAGCATTTACTCAAAAAAAAAAGCAAGGAAAGAGTACAGCAAAATGATCGATTGTTGCTATAGAGTTCTATCAGAGCTGCATCTCAAGCGAGTCACTTGCCTGATTTGTCACTTGCTGCACATATTTCTGTGTCTTTGCTCCTTTTTTATTTTTCAGCCCGAATGTTTTATCTTCAATTATTTTTTCTTTTTTCTTCTGCTCAACCTTTTTGTTTGGAATATTTTTCGGTGGCATACTGAAAAATTTTTCCTGAAACATTAAAGTGTTTATAAATGAACCGAATGCAGTAAATCAACGAGTCAAGAAGTGCATTAGTGAAATTCTGAAAAAAAAAGTACAAATTACCACAATAGTAAAGCGCTAGAGATTTACACTTATCAGTAAACTACAGCATAGTTGAAAGGTAACACTGAACAACATTAAACTATCAACTGTGTAAAACAAAACGCGAATGGTAAAAAGATTGAATGGAGATTGAGAAAGTGTAAGATGAGAAGAGCTGAATATAAAACGGCGAGTTACGTGCAACCAAATAACACTCTTAACAAATTTCATCGGATCTTTCAGGTAATTAAATCATTCCTCTTTTCTCTTTCTGTCCATATATAATTGGAATAATAGCATGGATACGTGAGAAGAAATACGAATCTTAGGAGTATGTTGTCCACATGTTATCCACCTACGAATCTTAAATGTTGTCCATTCAGATACGAAGAATGGTGATAGTTTGGTAATGGTTTCAAACTACCACCATTCTTTATATCGCTTAACTGCATTCAATCTTCAAACAACGTTAGATGCGTGAGCCTACAGGTTATAAGAATGTGAGGAATAATGAGAATTCCCACCCATTATACGCAACAAAGTTGGTAGTACCACCAACTCTCAACCACTACTTGTCACAGTAGCGGTGGCATTGATGTTGCATGCTGTGTTTTGTGAAATGAATACTCGAGACAAGCTAAGGTGTAAGATCGGTTAGTGAAAGTACCGCGAAGATTCCACCATTCATTCGCTCTATCTAGACTGATCTTACTAACACCACTTTAATGTTGTCTTCCAGGTGTTCTCTTCATTCGTCTACAAGAAAAAATGCGTAAAGAACTCGTGCGTAAATATTTTAATTGAAAAGAATGTTAATGATTGTTAACCTCAGCTCAAATAGTATTAAACATTTTACTCCCACCTACACGTGTTATATTTTTTTGTTTCTTTGTTTTGGTTTCAGGTTGACGTAAACTGTTATGATATGCTACAACGTGTCTATAGATTATTTAACGATGATGAAAGTGCTGATGTGGCAAATTTGTCAAGTCCTTCTACGGATGGAACTTCACAGAATCATGTTTGTTTTCTGTATTCATATTTCTTCCTTTACTTCTGTACCACTTTCATTGCCATGGTGGAAAAGCACAGTTCAAGTCTAGAATTAAGGCCAAATAGTTCGACCTTGGCATATCTCTCCGAGCATATACTTCGGATGATAATAAAGTGATGAGGAATGATATAGGTTATGCCTAGAATTGTTTGAGATTAAACATGAGGTAATAAACAATTGTTTCATTTTCAGTTCGTTTCATCGCTATCTTGGGATCTACGAATACAGTGTTTTCTGGGTTGCCTCTGTCTATCAATAATATGCTCTTTAGGTGGAAGCGCTTTACTTTTTACTTGGAGAATTACCGGTTTTACTGTGATGGTATCTTTGGGTAGTATTCTGTCGCTGTTTGGGTTCGTCTTAATATTAGCCATTTTAAGAATTCATTTTTTTCAGTTTTCCTCTCTGAGTACTGTTGATGAAAAAGCATCCGAGAAATAGTTCAGCGATTTCAAGAGGACTGTGAAAAACTACAGAGACTTTCCTTTCCCATATTCATCTCCAGCCTTCAGTGAATTAGCTATTAGACATATCATGAAGTGTCCTTAAAAAAAATCTCTCTTTGAAATTGGGCTACGAGTAGTTTTGTATTCGTTTTTGTCGTTGTTCCAATTTCTCAAGTTTGCAGAATCAAATATTTCTCAACAACTCACTTTTTTTAGGACATGTTTTTTAATGGGCCCCTTAAGACAATTGCAAAAAATGTTCGAGCGAGGACGTTTCCTAGCATCGCTTATGTATTTGCTTTCTATAGTCTTTACGTTGCTAACCGGCCTTGTTTTTTCGAATCCTCCTCTGGCACTTGTTTTCGTCATTGGACAGTACATTGCAATGACCTGGTACTCTATAACATATATACCCTTTGCACGGTATGACTTTATTTCTGTTTAACATGTGCTTATTATCAATATTTCTTGCAGTTAACACCACAAAAACATTGGGATGTAAGTAGTTGAGATGTCTCGTTGAGATGTAAGTAAGCTAGCTTGTATGGTGCTTAGTCCCATTGGAAGAGAATAATTTTATAATTCCTTTGTAAACAATCAACGAAAGACTTTATTATTTCATCATATTACTTGTATACACATTTCAGAGAGGCGGTGTTGTCACTTTGCTGCAAGTGTTTTAGCTGACAAGCCAATCAGTAAGTAAATTTCCAGAAACACGGGCGTCTTAAAATCGCCATAAATATAGTTCGGATTCACATTTTGAAGACTGTAATTTTTTTGAATATAATACTATCACAGTTCTATAGCGCACATTTTGTTTCAGCTACAGGTAATACTCCTCCCTGATCTCAGACTCATTCTAGTACAGAAATGATCAAAATTTTCTTACTGTAGAGCTGGTTATACTAAATTTTTCCAGATGAGGACATGAATTTAATTTGATTTTCTTAATTTCCCTATTTCGATATAAACTAACTTGGCTTATCCTAGCGGCGATGTTTTTCAAGTGGGGTTGGTCATTAGAATGCTAGATGACAGGGGGCTGAGATAAAAAGTTGTATCTTCCAAAAGTCTGTGATTGTTTCACATTATTTTAGCTTACGGAGAATTTGTTGAATAGCCAGTCTTTCATCTCCTTTCAAAGTATAAAGTTGATAGAAGGTTGCACACTTTCAATGTAAATTCCACAAAAAGTACTGCACATTACTAAACAATTACACAATTTGCATACCTGTTTTACATATGTTTACTAATAAATCTAAATAATATTTAGTTACAATATTTTTGCAGTTGACCTGACCTAACCTCTTAAAATACATGTTGTCCTAATTTAATTCTGGCAATACTACAAAATGATTCAACTTATCAGTTAACGGAAATGTTCTTATTTTTAAACATTTCTATCATTTCCGTCCCTTTTCTGCCTTCTTCTTCAACTATAAATAATAGTTGATTAGATTTGCTGGTACGATTAGATTTGCTTTTAATACATCCCAATGAGTCATATGGCGTTTAACGTGATTTTCAAACAGTTCTTGAGTGTTCGCCAATCTGATACTTTTGGTGATGTCATGTGGCTACTGCTCAAATACATGGAGAATGACAACAGCTTTTTACTCGATTTGTGATTAAACAATTTTCTGCATTTCTGGTTTTACTACCGCAATCTGGTGGACGTATTTGTTGTTAATAGCAAGCAATTAAATCAATGCTTTTAAAAGTAAGACTCAAAAGCGTGACAAGAATCCAACTACATCTACAGCATTTAAAGTAGTCGGCTCAGTCATCCAAGAAATCTGATTAGAGCAATCTCTTATTGTTATCAACACTTGGATGGTATCGAAATATAGTGGAATAAATTCTCAAAAAATTGGAGCATGATTTCGCACCTTTTTTTTTTTCGTATTTTGTTAAATTTCATTGCATTGCTGCCGACTATAGCCGAGGTTGTAGGAATGATTAACATACGAACAAATGAAAGCGGACTGCCTGAAGATGCGCTGTTCAACTCTTTTGTTGTAAAAAATATGAAACCAGAAATGAAATTCGATTTGAATCAAATGATCAGAGGACGAAATGTGGTGTGTCTTGTATTCACAATCCATATCTACAGGAGAATTCGCTTTTGTAAATTCGGCATCGATTCATACCATCAGAAGACAACTCAGTGCTACAATGACTTGAAATAGTTTCATAACAGAGAAATGGAAGGAATTTCGAATTGTTAAAGTAACAGTGTTTATGGAATGTAGTGATCACTGTAAGAAGATCTTTGGAAATTAGAAAACTAGTATTAATTGTTACACTGCATCTCGTTTCTGATAACATTATTAAAATTGTTTGGTTCTGTTTCAAATATTCCTTCCCCTCGAAAAGCATCCAACTGCCACATTTCCATACTCGGCATCGATGGTGACGAAGGAATTCCAAAAAACGGATCCAATTGTAAATAACAGCGATTATTACAGTAATTGCATTGTTCGATCGCGATTTCATCCATAAACATTAGTCAGACACATGCTCACCTTAAGATCCTATTCAAGCCGCCAATTACTAAATCGTCCAATCCTCACTGTCACTTGAATGGTTTGATGGGAACTGTTATGAATCATACAAGTTATAAAATAATTACAAGCTGTCCACACTACCATTCCACTGAAAATTAATAAGATGAACGGAAAGGCCCATTGAATTTCCAAAAAAAAACGATTGCATATTTGAAAAAGGTTGCAATTAATTTGTGTCCTGACTGATTGTAGTTGTCTTGTTTCAATCAAAAACGTAAAGATTGTGACTGAGGGTGCCTGCATCCTTCCACATTATCTGTCCTTGCTCGTCCCACCATCTAACCTGTCTGTCGAAGCTGAATCCATCCTATTTTTCCTTTGGTTTCCTTTGTCTAGTAAAAACCAATTATTTAGAAATTGCTAGATTATCGATGTTTTCATTGAGCAATATTTTATTATTTTATATTTAAATTTTCAGCGCTTTGGAAATGTTTGAAAAAGCTCTCTCTCCCTCAAAACTTGTCTGTATAAACAGTAATGTCTGCGCTTTTACTGGCGACACACCCTTTTTCGTATTATCTCTTTCTAAATGCTAAATATTGTGGAAAAGACCAGTAAGTGAAGTTGCTGCAGGATTTCCGAGGTATACAACGAGCAGTATAGCAACCTATTAGGGAAAGATGAGATTAATAAAGATTGAATTACTAGCCTTATTTGACACCTTAAGCAGCATTGGAGTGATAAGGTGTTTGTTGAGAAATTTTCGATTTCATGCCCCTGGGGTGTAATGCTACATTTTCCCCGTAAAATGCGCCTTTTTCGCATATTTTCCTAAACAACACACACCACATTCACCCATACTACTTATTTGTTTCATTTTTGATTCATTAATTTCAATTAATTATCTCCCGAATTCATGCTCAGAGATCATCCATTCATATCATCGCCTATCCTCTTATCTTTATATCTATTTTTTATGGTTCAAACAATTTTGCCATTATCTGTTTGTTATCAAATTTTTCAAAGATCGAAGACCACAGCAAATGAATGAATGCTAGCTATTGGTATTAAATGCTAGAGAAGGTAGGTCACACTTGGCTAACCTACCAGTAAAATACTATCAAATTTATTTTCCATTATCTTCTAAGTTCATATTCAGGATGCTTTCAAATTGAATGCTTGATTGGTTATATATTAAACATTAATATAAGAAAAAAAAAATTAATATAAGAGTAACTGGTAAAGCAATGATTCGCAAAATACTACGCATTAGAAATGTCTGATATTTTTTGTTTCTACGGGATCCTTCTGTTTCTATTAGTGCTCATTCAACTTTCTCAACGCAAAGACACTCAGAATACACTTTCATGTACTTTCTTCAAAATTTGTTTAAAAAAATCGCCACGAAATAGCTCCTAAAAACGCAGAAATATTTCTGAAAATGATTAATTCATGAAGAACTTGTTGTGCTTTCTCTCTTTTCTGCTTCATTTCCTTTCCTCTTTTTATTTCACAGCTATTTTTTGACTTATGGCAACTGTATCATTATATAAAGTCGTGCAATTATTCTTTATACATCGTTATAACATTCATACGAGCTCTTCATCCTGTTGACACCATGTCCTTTAGAATCTGAAGGTCACATTGATAATAGCCCTTCTAAAAGACATTTTAGGATTAGATCAAGCATTCTTTTCTATACTATTGATTGCGTTGGATGATATAAATCCATTTCAGTTATGCTTCCACAACAATTCCTTATCATATGCTACTCGCTGTTTTACCGGTGTTGGAGCGTTCAAGGAAGCGAACGACCTGTTGATCGTGACTGGAGATTACCTTTAACTCCTCAATTGTATTTGGAGATATCCCATTTAAACAATGCAGAAAACGCAATCCAGCATCGACTTCCACCGCTGTCAATTGGTCGTAGTTCACTGAAGCAGAAATTGGATCATTTTGATAATAACGATGGACGAAAATGGAGACAGGTAGCCTATTTTGCGACTTTCTATCTAATTCACCTGTTCATTTACATACTTTTGTGCGCATCCAAAGATGAAAAAAAAAGGAAAAATTTGCGATTGCAGTTTTACACGCACAGAAAATCACCATATCAACGTTCTGACGGTGCGGTGTTTCTGATAGTTGGTGGAGAAGATGGAGCGGATCGTGCCTGGTTGACGAATCAGGGCCTGCCATACGTTCAACTGGCAGACCAAATCAATGCTAGCATATTTATGCTCGAACATCGATTTTACGGTAGCAGTCGCCCGACGATGTATCTCTTCTATTGTATCACTTATCAATAAACTGTTATTCGCAAATTTGTTTAAAATCTAAAATCTCGTCGGTTCCGAACGACAATGCATTTGATTAATAATTCAGATGCAATGGTTCTTTACTTTCAGTGACACTTCTATTCAAAGCTTAAAATACCTTGATGCAAAACAGGCTGTCGAGGACATTGATAGATTTGTACAAGAAATAAATCAACGAGAGAAATTAACTAATCCGAAATGGATTACCTTTGGTGGAAGTTATTCAGGTCAGCCAATAGTCTAGTCTTTGTTTTTGAGACAATATCTCAAAAAACCGAAACGTCGTTTCTGTTCATTCAGTTTTATTTCTAGCTGGTGTTTAATAAATTTACATTGGTGAAGTTGAGTTATTTCCTGACCAATTGGGCCTAAGATATTTTGGCACAGCTGTGTAGTCCAGTACTTTTAGCCTCGTTTTCAAAAATCAAGAAGGAAATTTTTCTGCACCGATCCATATATAGTCTCATCAAAAGCATTGTAGCAATCATTACTGCAATAAGAGCTGTTCCAGCCTTTTTTTTTTCAGAAAACAAAAGATCATTACAACAAACAGTAATAGATGTCTTTCCTTTTGTTGTTATAAAAGCGGTTTCAATGCTTCAAAAATTTTCTTTTTTTTGATATAAAAAAGTTCTTCAAAAACAGAAGGCTGGATAACAGAAAAAACGGGACTCGCAAATGTTTTGAATTTGTCCATGGATTAATTTAAATTGAAGAAGGTGAAGAATGAAATAGCTGAAGCTTAACACATTCCCACAAATACAGAAAAAAAACTCTTCCTTGGCGCATTTATCCACATCTGCACAAAAGAAACCAATAAAGCAGCGAAACTCTAAACCTAAAAACCTTGAGAGTAACTAACTCCTAAACTTTATATAATAACACAACAATACCATTACTGTTTCTTAGCACTGAGCTCCAAAAATAGATATGTAAGAAAGTTTGGCTTTATTTTGCAGGTAATTTGGCAGCATGGGCTCGAGAAAAACATCCCCGAAGTATTCGAGCAGCAGTGGCCAGTTCAGCTCCATTACAAGCTAAACTTAATTTTAAAGGCAAAAAATTTTTATCGCAACTATTTCCTTTTTCAATAAAAAAGATCTTCACAATTAGCGCCGCACTCATCTGGACAGTACAACAATATACGTCCAATTTGCGTTTTCCATTAGCAGTTGTAACAAACCAGCTGGAAATTGCAGACTTCGAAAGACAGATTGAAAAAATTATCGAAAAAAAAGACACTAAATGTGTAGCAGTGATACGAAAACTGTTCCAGAAGATGCGTCAAATGTCGACAACACATGAGGGCAGGCGCAAACTTGTGAAAATATTTCGGTGCTGATAAGTTTCATTTTTTTCCAAACTCTTTCCGTTCAAGCTTTAAGCGAAAAAACTGATTGCCTTGCCTTTTCAGGTTAGATGACTCTTTAATTCGGCCAGCAGTGTCCGATAAAGATGTTGCCAATTTTTTCCTTGTGATCAGTAATTATATCAGTTTCATCGTAATGCACAGTGGAATCAATGTGGTTTGTTGTATAGTGTGTATGATGAGTTTTGTAGTGTTGTTAAGACTTTAAAACTTCAAATTTCGACTTACTTCCAAAAAACCTAGTGAAACTAAGCTCCGATTAGAGAAATGGAATTAACAGTCAGTTTGGAGTTAGCCTGCAAATTCTGCAAACTTCCAGAAGGATCACCGCGATTTATTGACTCTGGATGTGATGTGTAGCAAGCTGACTCATTCACCGTCACTGGAATCCATACGGGAACTGATTGGAATGGTTATGGCATCTCAAGGGAAGTCCTCACATTCAGCCATCGATATTGGCTATAATAGTTTTCTTGACTTCATGCGTGATGAACGTTGGAACACGCGGAACGCACAACGTTAGTATCGTTCTTTCTGCTTTGAAAGTGAGAAAATAGGCTGAATGAGTAATATCACTAGTTTTGAGCTAGGTTTTCGACAATAATGATGAGATGAAAATGTCGGGAGAAGAAAACAACATGGATAACAGGCTTTACACTGAACTGAACACTGAATCAATGATCGTTTGATCAGGTCAAGCTTAGCCACGAATACCCAGGTGGAAAAAATAATTAAAACTGGGGATTTTGTGACAATTTAGGGAATAATAGAAAAGACAAGTGATTGATTATTTTCAGCTCGTGCATGGCTTTATCAAAACTGCCATGAATTTGGCCATTTCCGAACCAGCGAAGAAGCAAATGGCTTGTTTGGTGGCACTCTACCTCTAAGGTGTTTTACAAGTTCGAATGCAATAGTTATCTTACATCTTTTATAAGAAAAAATTTAAGTTGTAAAATATTTTCAATTGGTCAACATGCTAATGTAGTTTCTTCTTGGCCCGTTGCAAGGACGTGTTCGGTGGTCATTTCTCTCTCGAAAATACGGAGAAGAGGATCGCTGAAACGAACGAATATTTCGGTGGAAATCAGCACTTTCAGGTTTGCATATCCTAAAATTTGGTCCTAGCTGATAGAACACTTACTGTTTGATAAACTCTTGATAGTACCGCCAATAATCATTCGCTCTTCGTTTTACTTTTTGCCATTGCCCTTATAAGCAAAAACAAATTTCAAAATGGATAGTAGTACGGTCTATCAGAGCAGTCTTGATTTAACTTTATAATTCCTGAAGGTTTAGAATTACATTGCAGGCGACAGACGTGATACTATCCAATGGCTCCGACGATCCATGGACCTTACTCGGCATATACAATGGTACTAGTGCTATTGGCAATTTCGTCATCTGTATCGAAGGTTTCTCTTATTTTGCATAAATGATAAAGCACTACCAAGTTCATAAGGAATTTAACGACTCATAACTCAACTGAGATTAAGAACTTCCCTTGCAGTAGGTTAGGGCAGATACAATGGTAGAAAACGAGAGACAGATTAGTTTTAAAAAGGTTTGAAAAATGAGAATGGACGAAATATTAATGGAAGATATTGCAGGGACGAGCCATGTAGCCGATTTTTATCCTCCGAGTAATTTTGATTCCAACGCTTTGAGGAATGCGCAGTATAAGATAATACGAGTGATCGAAGATATAGTGTTGTAATTGTTCAACTGACTGCATAAATGGATCAAAATGTTTACTTTCAGAATATTTAAATGAATGCATGTTATTAACTTGAGCGATTCCATCTCAGACGACCTGTTTCCGCCGACTGAATCGACCCTCCAAAGTATTTAAACATCCAAAAATTGAATCCATGCTCAATTTGACTAAACGCAGTTGACTGTGGCATATTTCATGATCACTTTAGTCGCATATTCTTCTATAACCTTGCGCAATGTTTCAGGTTCTGTTATAGTCCAGATCTTTTATTGCTTCTGTCAATCTTTCTGACTTTTCATTGCTTTTGTCATCGTAAAAAACCACCAATTAATTATGATTAATGCATTTGGGGAATTAAACACTTGGAATTCCTTGGAATTCCAGTAAGCAGTCTGAATAGTTTTCAAAAAAAAGATGTATGCAACAAAAATATTACATAAAACACTACCCAAAATAAACTCGATCCAATTAATATAGCGCTAAAAAAATATACCGCAGAAATGGATTAACAGGATGGGTTCTCCCCTAAAACTCAATCAAAAACGCAAGGAATGTTCGGGACGACATGAATTTGTTTTGTGAATACATATCACTTGAACCGTCAAAGTGATTTTTAATCAAATGTTAATTGAGCATTAAAATGATCACTAATGTTTATCTCTCCACAAACCACTAATATTCATCGGGTAACAATCAGCAATTGCGATGTACCTTACGGTGCATTTCTTTCTAAGACAGAAAAAAAAGAAACCTTACCTCTCTGACTTTATTCACTTCTGGAGTATTATATCAATTGTTTTTGTCATCATTGATTGCTAATTATCAGTACATCCGAATCTGTAAAATAAGTGGAATTGATTCGTGAGTGGATCAAAACCCATTTACTCGAAGAATTCAAACGAAATCCATAAAAATAAAAATGTAAGTGTTCGATTTGTTCGAAATCTTAAATCTCCCAAAGTTCTTCACTCATTGCTTTCAAATTTTGAAACAACGTCGCATTCGAATACCCGCGTGTTTTTAGACCTGTATTATATAGATGTCACACCTGTGACGAGTAAAAATATGTTTTTTGTGTATACATGTATAGATATATATATTTATATGGAGGAGGAGCCTTGCTAAGCTCTACCCCGGTCATCATGGAAATTAGATGGCCCTTGGAATGGCTCATACTGGAGACGTACGAAAACACCGAAATTTCTTTGTGACGTCACCATTGTCAACTTACATCCTCTTAATCGCCTTAATTTTATTTATAGGATTACATTATCCTGTCTGATCCATATTGTATAAATTTTATTTTAACAAAATTTAATTTCAATAATCCATTAGTGTTGTATTTTCTGTCTCCCAGGAATTTTTTTTCGGCAAACTACTGAGTTTTGCGGCATTGGGAACTATTCATGAGTAAAGTTTATTTTTTCTTTCTCCATTGTTCTTCATTTCGTTCTTTTTTAACTGTTTTTCTCATTTTTCAATGCAGTTTACATACATATTCTCTCTTATCTTTTCTTCTTCTTATAAATAAAAAGCATTGATTACAATTGAAGATTTGTGCATGGAAATCGCGAATAAACTTCTCAAAAATCAATTAAAATGCCATTATTGAACCAATCTGCTGCTTTCTTCGATGTAGAATTGCATCGTAAACAAAATTACAGTACAGGTGATCTTTTATAGTATCAAATATTCTTATGCTAATCAAAGATCAAATATTCCTCAGCTTAATCAAATTTTTCTGACCAAATATTTCTATGATCTAATAATGCAAACTGTCAATAACAGGGTTGGAGAATTCTTCTTCTTAGATGCGCCAGGAGGAACTGGTAACAACTCGAATTAGCTGATTCTGGCAGCAATTCGATTCCAAAATGGACACAGCCCTCTTGCGTCGTCGGAATAACTGCGACATTGCTATCAAGTGAAAGAACTGCTCATTCCGCTCTGAAATTGCCACTGAACATGCAATTCATTGAAACTCCCAAGTGCAACATTTCCAAAGCACATGGGAAAAGTACTGCACGTTAGATCATTTGGAAACGCATTAATATTGCTTGCAGGAGATTTCAGGCAAACATTACCTGTAATTCCTCGATCGACACAACGGACGAAATAAATACTTGCCTGAAATACTCTGCTATGTAGTAGCACGTAAAGATGTTAAAATTAACTACAAATATGCGTGTTTAGCTGCAAAACTTGCGGAAAATTAAGAACGGAAAGGTGGCGGTTGATCTGACCTCAGGACGAACTTCACTGCCTCACAGCTTCTGCAATTTGGTGACGTCAAACAAAGAATCGGTTGAAAAAAAGCTATTTCCCAGTATTCAAACCAATCATGAGAATCACGATTGGCTGAGTGAATGAGGCTATTCTTGCAGTCAAAAACAAAGAGGTCTACTAACATAATCATATTATTTAATCTAATATTCAAAGCAAGGCAGTCACATACGAGTCGTCAACACTGTTCTGGAAACAGATGAAGCGTTTAATTATCCAACAGAATTTAGGAATTCACTCGATCCGCCAGGGATGCCACCATACATATTACAATTGCCAATTATCATGTTGCAAAATATCAACCAACCAAAGTTTTGCAGCGGCACGCGGCTTGCAGTAAAAAAATAATGAACAACGTCATAGAAACAACAACTTGACAGGAGTTACAAAAATGAAGATGTCCTCATTCCTCATTCCTATGATTCCAACGGACATGCCATTTCAATTTATGAGATTGCAATTCCCAGTTCGATTGGCTTTGTAGTCATCATCAAAAAGGGGCCATCAAAAGAAGCCTATCCTTAAAATTCTGCGGTTTAGATCTAGACACAGATTGCTTTTCACATGGACAATTTATATGTTGCGTGTTCTAGAATCAGCAAACCAGGCAGTGGAAGAACAAAAAATATTGTATACCCATAAATATTGTGAAATTAAACATATTAGAAACGTGTGCTTTCTTCTTTCTTTCTTTTCCATTTAACAATAACATTTAACAAACTATTTTGATTTATTTGCTATTAGCCGCTAGAGTAACGCATGACCAGGTACAGCTGATGTATAAATAAGTTCGTATAAATATAAATAAGTAATAAATAAGTAATAAAATATAAATAAATATAAATAAATGTATAAATATAAATAAGTAATAAGCTGATGTATAAATAAGATGTATAAATAAGGATTGCAATGAGATATTACTTCCCTGTCATACACTCTCCCCTTCTTTGTCCGATTGATGCCTCACAATTAATTGGATTATGTCAGTAAGAAATACAGTTTGAGAATTTATTCAAGAATTTGTCATGAATTAATTTAATTGCTTTTTTTCAATTTGCCTAATATGTCCTTTCCCCTTAATATTTTTGTATATATATATATATATATATATACTATATATATATGCGTACTTGCACTTTCTTATATATATATATATATATATATATATATATATATATATATATATTTTGTATATTTATATATTTATTTATTTATTTATTTATTGATTTATTAATTGATTGATTCACTTACTTATTTATTTATTTGTTAGTCAATTAATTAATTTGTTTATTTATTTAATTAATTAATTTATTTAATTTACTTATTTATTTATTCATTTGTTTATTCATTTAATTAATTAATTAATCAATTAATTGATTAATTAATTCATCTAAGTGCCAAATATTAAATCAGGGATAATTTGGTACCACAAGTGCAGTAATAATTACTATGATGAATTACTACAGGTGCCACAATTCATTGCTGCACCTGTAGTAAAATATTTTTGGTCTTCTAATGATCATTTGTGAAGAAGTTTCCTCGAACAATTATTTGGCATATGTCTAAAAAAACTTTATATTATATTTAGGGTTCAAATTTACCGATCGAATCATGTGACAGTGATGAGGGATGTTCACGGAAGGCATAAATCGACATACGAAGCATCAAAATGTGTTGACACCAAATGTAAGACTCGTTTTCTTGTTTCCTCCATGATAGTATGAGAATTTGCAGATGAAAGAGCCAAATGCGAACTACTTCCAAATGAAATTGAAAACCCGAAATTGTTATAAATGAGTAAAGGGTTGTATTTTATTAGGCAACGCATTCTGCAGAATGATGTTAGGATTCTAGGAATATCCGATATAGAGCGCATGTGTAACCTCAGTCTAGAAGATATGTGATCTGTTTTCCAGCATTAAGCAAAAAAGATTTATTTTTCAAATTAATTTTGTCACTATGAATGTCGTTCGTCTACTGAGAAAGTATGTTAATCTTAAATACCGACAGCACACTTTTAAACTGCTATTTATAAGGTTCATAACTTCTTCAGTGTTGTTTAAAGTGACACCATTGCCTCCAGTAAAAGAGGGAACAGATGAAATTTCCTTTTACAAGGATATAGTCGGGATGTATTCCGTGTGAGAATCACCTGTTTGATAGGCCGATCCTTAATATCTAACACTGTCCTGATTTGATTTGCACATCACTGGGAATATTATCATTTAAGGGCGCCCAATTACATGGTGCAAAATAATGCAGAATTTTTTACGGCAACAATCACTCTGTTTTCTTAATAATCCAAGCAGAGCTGGACTTACTTGTTTCTCTCTTTTTCTTTTTCTCCCTCTCTCTCTCTCGCACATAAAAAGACAGGACCGTTTGGCATTGTAATGAAGGACAAACATGAATAAATACATAGATAATCACGAACTCTTACGAACATGTATATGTAATGGACACAGACACTGAATGAGAAGAGACAACTGGGTGACATCGCATTTTGCACACCTTTTAACAATCGTAATTGCAGCATCAAACCGTCACAAGGGACGTGATTATGCTCTTTCAGCTGGTTCTCAACACCGGTCACTTCCCACTGCTGTATCTGAATTAGCGCCACAAATGCCGCTTTTTCAAGGTGATACTAATGAAACTTCAAATAATTAGAAAGTTTCCTCTGCGTTACTCCATTTCAATACAGCATTTCTACACTCTGAATATTCAGCATTGAAATGGCAATCGCCATCAGTAACCATTCTCTTCCGACTTTCAATCAACACATATCCTCGAATTCATCTATCAGTCCATCTTTTTTCTCTTTGCTCCTTGCCCCTTTCCAATCCACTTCCCTCTATTTTAATCTGTCAATGTTCGTCTGCCCTCTGATCTCATCAATTCATTTTAGATCCTGTTCCATTGAAGAAAGCATTCATCACTACGTCGAGCATTAGCTAAGATAAACTTTGTTTCTAAACACTTTCTAGGAAACCCCCATTCATAAAGAATACAAAGGATAGACTGTTGTGTCATTCACTTCTCTACCTTCACAACACTTCTCAACAACGGGCTTCATTCTTTAGCATTACTATTACAACTAATCATTCCATCTCATTACCCATTAAGATATGAGTAGCCTCGCTCGACACTTTAACTTTTCGTTGTTTTTCCTCTGAGCCTTACATATTACCGTCTATTTTCACTGTAGGCCATTCTGGAACATCATTTTTATACATTATTCGGAAAGAGCACATATTCTGACAAGTGGTCATTTTTGGTATCATAAACATATACAAGATATAGAGCGCGGATACATGAGTCCAGAAATTGCAAGAACTGATAAATGATAAATGGCGAGCTAAAGGTCTCATCTATGTCACTTCCTATGAGAATGTCAACACACAGTAGTATTCTTGCAAACGAGTTACTCAGCGACTTTAAGGTAGATGATGGTGATTCCTCTTACTATTATCTTTACATGTATGTAGCTATAGGATGTAAACAGAAGTTGAAAACATTAAATGCTTGGCTAGCCCAGTTATATTTTGCAATCAAGGAACGAAGGGGAAATTTTTGGATGCAACTGTATGTGTAACAGCTATGGTAACCATATCATGGTCATCAGACAGTACCAGATAGTATTCCAAATGTGTGGTAATGTCGCAAAACGAAGCAAAGGTCACAGTAAAGAGTAAGAGGGGAAGTAGTAATTCGGAAGAATCCTGCAAATGCTACTGCCAAGGTGGCAAACGAACCAGCTATCCATACGGATGGACTACTACTACTACTGCTTCTGTTCAGTATGATTCCATCGGTTCGTTCTTCAGTCCTTCTTCATCACTGATACAGTAACAGTCCCTTGGATACAATAAGATTATATCTCTAAATCGATGTTATGAAAGTGCTTTTTTGCAGGTGAATCATCATCTCGTGCAGAAGATCGTTCATTAACAATTAAATCAGGCCATATCGAACACATATCTCACCAGGCGGCACATCCCGTTGCAGTGAGACATCTCGGGAATCAAACATTGGAAAGAAAGCCAAGTTGGCCCCTCCACCTCATTACTATCGCCCATATTCTACTATCAACAATTTACAGTTGATTGCAACTCGGACACGAGCCTTAAACGAACTATTACAAGGATTGAATCAACGGGAATGTCGTATACTAATCGAGGGCCTAGGGATGGCATCAGGAGTGGTGGTTTGAGGGTGCTATTTATGAATTGTAGTAAGGATGTGCCCCACAGAGTAGAAAATATGTGGGATTCGCTTTCTGTATATTTTAATGCATGATCGTCTGGTTCTTCTACTTGGTAATATGGTGAGGAAAGCTGCTTAATCCTCTCCTGTCACTGAAAATATGCTTTCAGGCGTTTCAGTTCAAGTATTGAGCGCTCTCATTGGAAATTCAGGAAGTAGCACATATAGTCGAATAATGGGTAAAGTTATGCGAGTCCTTGTAAGTGTCGTTTCAGCAGTGACCTTAACAAAACACCATTTAAGGGTTTCGATGTGATTCTTTAGCAAGTTGTAGTTTATTTTGGTTTTTCGCTTTTTTTTCCTTTGCTATTTTTTTACTATCATTCTTTAGCAGTTTGAATTAAGATTATTATGTTTAGAGCGAAAAGAGAAGGCATGAAGAAACGAAGGCTAAGGAAACGCTAGGCTGCAAGTAAAACATAAAATGTTAATCTTTAAGTAGTCATTTGTTTACAGGTAGCCGGATCGAAGAGGGTTGGAAAAACTGCGTGCTTAGAACAGCTCGCTTGTCTTAACGATATCACTGATCAGGTTTTTTTTTGCATTTGTAAGTTTTGAAAAGCTCAGTTTTGCTTATGTGTAAGTTTCCTTCTTTTCTGTTTTATTCAAATAGATTCATCATAGATGGTAGTTTGTTGATAATATGCGCACTTTATTCATATATATATATATATATTATTTATTTATTTATTTATTTATTTTAGCCTTACGTACCTACGATTGAAGATACCTATCAAATCCAGATGGATTACGGAGATCGATCCAAAGAAATTATGGTTTTTCACGATACGGCCGGAATTAGTGAGAGTGGCCCAATCGATCTCAAGCGTTCCTACATTCAGGTGTGCTTGTTTTTATTTCCCCAATTAATTCAACGAATTCAATTTCATTGATTTTACGAATTACATAGAGTTTTTATTATACCTCCCCATAGTTTTATCGTTTCCGACTACATTTGTTATGGCTATCACTAATATGTGCATTCCACAATTAAAATATTTCTTGCTTATTGCATCCATCAGTCTAAATAGAGCGTTGTAATAGGTAGCGGACGCGTTTTTGTTACTATATTCGGTTGTTGATCACGAAACGTTCAACAGAATGGATATGTTAAAAAAAGTGATTGATAAACAATTTGGTAAGGATAAAAAGGAGGTAATTCCATATTTGCTTGGTTACTTTCTTGTAGTTTAGATGTATTGAATGATATCCTCGCCTTGGTCATTTTGATGCTAGATCTGTCCCTTTATCCTTGTAGTTGAAATGGTTATGACATTTGAACTTTCAGGTGCCTATAGTTGTTTTGGGAAATATGATTGATCTTCCAGGTAGAAAGGTTGATAGTGAATTCGCACGGAGCTGGGCTATCAAAGAAAAAGGTTGGTGTAATTTGCATATGTTTCACACCCACAACTTTTTTTCCAAAAATACTTTGCAGGTAATTCTTATCAACAGCATTTTTGCTTGAACTCAATATATGTTTCAGTGAAATTATATGAAGTAACTGCAAAGAACCGTAACACACTGGTTGATTTAGTCGTATATTTAGGTAACCGACACTTCCATTCACAACGTGAGTTCTCTCTTGTAAAAATGCTGCAGACTTATGATCAAAAGAATCTCTCAGCATCCTATTTATCTTGTTGTCCGATTTTCTTGATGGAATCACATCCTTGATGGAATTCATCAATTATTAATTCAGATGGATGGGGCAATGTTTGAGACAGATTTCATCAATAGTTGGATTAGAAACCATCAAAACTACCTAATTATTCAGTGCATTTGCAGGGGAATCAAAATTTTCCCTCTCTAAGAAGCTGAAAGCTGAGAAATCTAACGCTGCCATATTGATGGATTTGTGAAATCACCGTTGTGTTTCCCACATTTTTGTTGATTCGCTAAAACTTCATTTAATCAATAGAACTCGAAGATATTACTTTTTTAATGGAGTCACATCTATAAATATTTTCGCGATTCGCAAATATTTATAATCGGTAACTCAACTGTATGTTGTCTCCATTGGGGCATAACTTTCATTTTCTGTGAGTTCGTTACATTTTCTATAAATTACACGATCAAAATCTGCGGTAAGGATTGATTCAGAAATAATGGAAGAAATGAGACGTCTTTAAGAAATTGACATCTTGCTCATCTTTTAAAAACAATTTTAAAATTTAGAAACAATTAATGGTAGTTGCTTGTAGGATGACAGTCCTGCTGATCGATATCTTCTGTAATTCTGTAACTATGAACTGGTTGTGAGCCATCTGCTCTATATCAAAAGATGTGATTCATATGCACTTCATTTTTCGTGGTGCTTGATTTTTTAATCTGTTAATGCATGGTAGTTGCTGAGGAGAGAAAAACCACTGCCGCTTTGTCCATTTCTCACTTTGCTATATGTTCGACATGTTGATAATTATGAACTACCAATTACTTTACATGGTTGGTCGAGATTGACCAGTATCGCATGGTTCTTCAATTGAAATACAGTAGGAAATCCTTCATCTTATATCGCAATGCAACACTTATCAATTTGGACTATAAAACGATAAAAATCAGAGATTATAAATACGACTGGTAAAGGAATTGTATATTATTCTATGTATGATGCGATGCCACATGACAGTTGTTCCGAAATATTTTCCTCTGAATCTTTTCTTGAATGTTTTTTAATTGTGTCCAAACAGGCTTCTGAATCGTTGAAAAAGGTCAGTTTTCTTTCTCCATTCTTTATTGTGATACAAAAGAATATAAATCCCGTTGTTATGCATGCATAATATGGTTCTGGTGTTCAAGGAAAGACCTCGAAGTACTCAGTCGAGGCTACTTATTGAATTCCTCGGATACTGAGCGGAGAATAATTGCTTCTTTGCATGGCTTTTTGTTCAATAACCAATATAAGGATTTAGTAATAAGTTAGTTACTAGTAAATAGAAAGAATTAGATATTCATTGCTACAAATAAAGCATTTATTATTATTATACTACGAAGATTAAGCTATGATATTTCTTTTGTCAATGCTGGCTATTATATTTTAAAACCATCAATCATAAAACGAAATCCAAAAGCTACAGAGTGCTAGACATCCGATACATGAGATGCCCGAGGTGATGATTGATACAAGTAGCAGAGAATATCTGACACTGCAAACCAAACGTTCCCCCATGGAAGTTCTGTCGACGACTACAATAAATAATTGGAGTAATGGGCAGAATCTCTCACACGGTTCTCAAGAAAACTATCCCAATGGAAGATCTCTGCTTAGTGCTTATACCAAACAAATTAACTCTTTAACCGAACCATCTCAAGTAGGAAGCTTCATCTTGAGTTCAAACATCGTTGAAACAGTTCCATACGAAACTCAACCCGATATCACTGAATCAACAAACTACAATCGCACTAGTTTGTTTTCAAATTATGAATGAACCCAATTTCGCTGAGCTATGTTATCTGTTGACTAATCCTTCTTTAATTAGTAGGTGCAAGAAATGTTTTTAATTTCAATACCTTTCGAACTAATTGTTTCGCTAACTACCAGTTTAAATTGAAATATGTGAAAATGCGGACATAAACAGACCAACCTGATAATTAATTGGTTATTCTGAGCATTCTATGTTTCTCTCCATATCGGTCAGTTGTTAAATATACATGAAGTATAGCTCGACTACTTCAGAGAAGCCCAGAGAGGTAAATAATATAAACAATGTTATCGTCAAAGAGAAAATAACCGAACATGTGACAGACATCGTGCAAACAATTGAAGTTAACGTCACGTATTCCATTCATTTATTCTTTAATTGGACATGATAAATTCAGTTCCAGAGAGATATGCTTTCGTGTTTTGCAGAAAATTTTGTTTATCGTTAGCCAAATTATCGTCATATCATTTTTCAGCATATGAGGAATAGTAACTAAATTTTTGCAGAAAGAGAACATACCAGCAATTGCTGTTTCAGATGTGACAGTACTGTGGATCGCATTGAGCAGTACAGTAATCATCATGATTGGTCAGATTCTGTTCTGCTTTCTTACTTGTGGTCATTATATCCTTCAACTCAAAGAAGACTGAAGCACTGTAAATATATCCACTTGTTTGCATTCAAATTTATTCCACTTTGTTGATTTTTACAATACTGAAAAGTGAACGGAAATAAAATCCATCAGAACTATTTACTAGTATCCCATCAATTGATCTCGTATTGTTTTCTAGGCATAAATCTAATATGTAATTTAAAAATCTCTTGCATCACTTTACTGTTAATTCAGGTATCATCGATTACCACATACTCATTGATGCGAGAAAACCATTGGACTTTTCCACCTTAGGGGTAACCACTCAAGATTCAAGAATTAATTTCTCGCTGACTTCTTCGAATAAGCAGAACATTTTCTTTTTTTTTTTTAAATCTATAGAATGCTATAAAAGTATAACAATTTAAGAATATTTCTTGACTCGGATTTCAATTAGAGTATTAAAACCTTTTATGAAATATAACTGACAAGCGATTATTAGCATCATCCTTTTGTTTAACGCCAATTTCTAGCAAGTAATAGAGGATTAGTAATTAATTACAAATACGATTACAAATACAATTAATTACAAATACGATTTTTTAGTTTCTCGACCTTGAACTTCAGCTTTGCCCACTAGGTTGGTTTTTCTCAGAAGTGTCCTCCGAAGGATAATCAATCACCGGAAAGTGCGAATACGTTTTTTTGTAATTTTGAAAATTGCAACGACAACGGACGACTTCTGCTACAGTTTTGTGCAAATCAGCAACTCACAGTCACAAACACTATCTTTCGGCACAGAAGCAACTTGAAGAACCTGGATGTATCCTTGATCCAAGCATTGGCATCTCATCGACCATGTCTTAGTGCGTCAAAGAGACGTTCGCGATGTTCGTCACATTCGTGTGATGCCTAGTGCAGAATGTCAAACAGACCATTATTGCCTTGTGCGACGTAAACTCAACCTCGCTTCAGATCTAAATCTGAAGAGGTAGAATTCCGAGAAGGCTCAAAGTTAACAATCTCTAAACATCTACAATGAGAGATAAATTTTCAAACGAGACTCCAAAATCACCCCACATCTCTCTTCTGAAGCGCTTTGGCAACATAAAAACTAGTTTGATGAAAACAGTGAAGGGATCCAGAATTTGCTGACAAAAAGGAGATCTGCTCACCGAACACACCTCGCTCAACCATCTTGTCATGTAAGAAAAGCCACCTTTCGCCTTGCATGCAGTAAGCTCTAACAGGAACTTCGAGACATCTAAAACAAACGGTAGATAAACCTAGCAAGAAATATTCAACTTACGCAGATTTATGTGACTACGAAGGATTCTACGGGGCTCTGAAAGCTGTATATGGACCCACACACCACGATCAGAGCTCACTGCTTAACGCAGATGGCCAAACGCTTCTCACTGAAAAAAACCTTTATCCTGAATCGATGATCTAAACATTTCAGACTCTCTTCAGTGCCAACCGTGTGGTCCAACAAGATTCAGTAATTCAGCAACAACCAATAAGCGAATTGGATATAACCCCGACTATAACGGAGACATTTAAAGCTATATAACAGGTGAAAACTGGCAAAGCAGCTAGGATTGACAGTATTGCACCTGAAGTCTGGAAGGGTCAAGCACGTCACGCTAAGTTCCACGAGCTCGTTCTGCGATGTTGAGAAAAAGACGAATTTCCACCAGATCTCCGTGATGCAATAATTATCGCCCTATATAAGAACGGAATAAAAATAGACTGCTCAAATTATCATCCCGCTCTCTATTGCTGGCAGAATTCTTGCAAGAATATTTCTAAACAGATCGACACTCGCTATATCGGAGAAGGTTCTACCTGAAAGCCAATGTAGCTTCAAGCAAACAGAAGTACCGCAGACATGGTGTTTGTCCTCCAATAATTGCAAGAGAAATGCAGGGAAAAAAAGAACAGAAGCCTTTATTTATATAAAAAAAAAATACACGATCAGTACACCATCAATCTCGAAGTCGAAATTGATGGTGTACTTTTTTATCATGCTAGTGTGCATTATTTTAAAGGACAAAGTCCACTTGGTTTGTTGCTTTTTCATCTTTTTCCTTCGTAGACCTCACAAAAGCCTTTAACACGTGAGCAGAAAAGTCCTGTGGCAGATCTCGCAGCAATTAGGATGTCCTCCCAAGTTCCTGAAAAGAGCTTGCATTTTCATAATCTAGTTTATATGATGCTCCAAAGTGCCACAGCAGACCTCGATGAAGAAAATGACATCGTTTCGATGGAAGTCTATTCAACCTAAGAGGACTGAAGACTCAAAGGCCTGAATTTTTCCCGATGATTTCGCTTCATCGCTCATATAGGAAAAACTTCGCAGTGTATAACATCCTGTTTTGCAGAGTTCGCAGAATTAGAATTAAACTTCAAGAAGACAGAAGTCCTTTACAGAAGTCCTTTAGACAGAAGTCTTTTTGGATTAGAATTAAACTTCAAGAAGACAGAAGTCCTTTACCAGCCTGCACTATAGGATGACTATCTTCAAGACTGAATACGGCTTCCATAACTCACAGCAATTAATTTAAATAAAATATCTGGATATCACATTGCTCTTGATTAGCAATCAACATCGAACTATCGCTTATACTATGCATCACAAAAACACAGGAAACGCTATCAGAATGAGCGTTTTGCCATACATAAGTGCAAAACTGGGGTGTGGACTTATCAAGAAAATTCAATCACTATAAATCCGGTCACTAATGTTATAATTCGATTTACTAATCATAACGATTTAGGTTGATGATTCTCGAACCCCTTATTTGTCCAAACTATACAGCAATAACTTCTTTCACTGCCTGTATCAAACCTTACAGTGTAGTCACTTTTTGCTTTATTTTTAAAAAAATAAAAATTTCAACAATGAGCACAAAACAGCTTAAAGTCAAAACACTAATGAACTTAAGAAACAACAGAAATGCCAGTAGGGCAGAGACGGATATATGCATGAGCTGGTTATCACTGTAATTAATAATCTTTGCTTCAAACCGGGGATTAAAAACTGGGATTTGAAATAGTCGGAAACATGACACAACCAAAGAATCATCGCAACTAGACATGATGATCGTCTGTATAGCATCTTCATGTTATGGATAAAGACACGAAATAGAACACAATCAGTAACAGTAACAAACAGTTAGTTATTCCTTTATAAACAATAAGTAGAAATAGTTCAATCCCGAAAGACCAATAGTAGCAGTCCACAAAAAGAACAAGACAATTAATTTACTCATTAAATTGGGGAATAGAGCTGAGCAGCACGTAGACATGATCATGATGAACAATTTCATGGAAATTAAGTGAGAATGGGCTATTTGATTCATCCAACACAATGGTTTCAGTTCAGGCGTTTTTTACTTCCAAATATGGAGTTCTTCAAACGTTGACCCAATCCACCACGTTTGTCCACCAGCGCTAAAATTTAAAGATTAAATAATTAGGCATAAGATGCGACATCATTTGTCAAAAACAAATGATTTCATTTCACTGAAGAGTTTTTGAGAAATATTAAATCTGCAACACACAGAGATAACTTTTGTGATGTGGAGCATCCAGAGCAGTAACAAAATGAACTAGTTAACTTGCCGGAGGAAGCTGTGGTGTCTGTGTTTTGCACAACATCCTTTTTTTCTTGACAGTGACTCAAACTATTACTTTTCATCAATGGAATTGGTTTAATTGGCATTATTTCATTAGCGATCTGAAATGTACATGACATATGCCTCTTCATTTCTATAATCTTAAAAAAATGCTGTTCGTGCGCATTTCTTGCAAAAGAATTACCTTATTGAGTGATATCAGTGAGGCGGCAGTGACTGGTGGCTTTGACGAACCGATTTTCCGCAAAAATTGACCAATTCGACTACTCGCCTTGACCGGACCAGGTAGTTTGGGAGTAGTTGACAGTATACTGTGACCGGCCGTTGACACACTGCCAAGCTCACTGCCATGTGAAAAGCGTTTCTCATCGGTCTGATATGATGCAAGGTAGCCATTTTCCAACGATATTCGCATGCAGCAACAAAATTTGAATCTCATTCCTTTCATCAACGCTTAACATGTTGGTATATGTTGCAGCTTACCTGGATATTATCGTAGAAACCATCATCTTCCTCATCCAAACTAGCTGTCCAAGAGGAAACCGACTGCTTCCCAAGAAGCGGTCCTCGATTACCAGACGGATGCGGTGTCGATAAATGGTTATTTGGTGATGCGTACGATGACTGAGCACCCAATGATGAACCAGAATAGTAGCCACCTGTTTGGGATGAATTTGTGGAACCTGCAATAATTCTCCCATTTGTCCCATGAGAATGTCCCAGAAATACTAGAAAAAAGATTCTCTTGGAAAGGTTAACAATTCAATCTCAGTAATTCGCCAGTAGTTTCATTTAGCAAGGAACAAGTTATAGTTTATTCATTTATCCCAGCGAAATTTAATTTCCAAAAGTTAATATAAAGTTGAATATTCTGTAGAGAAGCTGACCTGGTGGACGAGGAGGTGGATGAGTCACTGGAAATGCCGGAATAAACTCAGATCGTGATGCAGTTGCTGAAGGAAGACGTCGCTTTGACTGAAAAGCCGGACGAACCGTTGAAGAGGACTGCTTCCCAAATGGTTTGGCGTAAGAAGGAAAAAACTGAAAGTGTTATTATTTCTATTACTCGTTTTTTATCCATTCCTAGTAGATTCTACAATTTTATCCAATCCTCCCCTTACTTACTCCTTAATTTGCATATCGTCATTCATACCTCTTTTCGAGGAACAATAAAATCATTGATTTCGTAATAATTATCGTCATCTTTAGCATTTGAAGCTGACATAACACTGTTGTTGTTGCCGCTAGGAATGCTACGGCGCGACACTGCTGCATCTGTAAAAAAAGACTGCAAATTTTCTGGAAGAATTGAAAAAAAAGGATGAACCGAAGAAAGAAACACTGCAGAAAGGTTGAGTCGCTTAACAAGAGTAAAGAAACGAAAACACAAACCGAAAACAGATATTTCGAAAAAAAGAAACGAAAAAATGAAGCAAGCATATAAAAGAATAACAATGTCATTCGAAGAAGCATCCCGTCATCAATAAAACTGTGCATTAAGGTGCATCTTATAAAAATTATAAGTCCTAAATATAAAATTAAATTGTCAATGACTAACTGGTAGCAGATGTATAAAGCCGTTAAGCAAGACAGCGCGATGCCACATGTCACACATTACGACGAACCAGTTTTATTTTTAGTCATCATTTCCTTTTTTCCACTCATCAATTTCAAAAATACTAGTGTGAAGAAGCTTGAAAAGATACTACTCTTTTGTGGTATCACGCCGCCCTCATTTCAACACTTCCAGTACCTACCAGACATCAAATTCGAGTAGGTTAAACTCAATACGTCAGTTAGTCTGAAATATGAGTAAAAGTAACGTGCACTGAGTGTGTGTTTTCAACAGAAACACACAAATGTAACGATGCTAAGAATGAAAAAGTTTTGATTGGTTATTAAAGGGTTGTGCTATATACAGAAGGAGGATTGTGATACAATACTGAAGAAATGTGGTATAATTTCTGATGTAACAACTTAGAAATGAAAAATGCTTGGAAAGGGAGGACGAAGTCAAATAACGTAATGATTCATAGTAATATTTCTCTTGATAGAAACTGTTGCATTGGGAGGGAGGGGGAGGAGGAAAGGTGATCCTATTAGATAATTACGTTGTTTGTTCTCGAATATAGATTGCATGGCTTCCACTTTGCTTGGATTCAGCTTTTCCTGATTGATTGTTTCAAATGGAGACAACACTGAACTGCTTTTCACTCCCATCTCTGCAATTTATATTCAAAGCTCTGTAAGCTTTCCCTGCTATTGCAGATCGGAACAAAACTGCAACGGTAAAACACTTACGCACATACTTACGACCCTTGGACAGTTCGCTTGTTGCCGTGACATCACTGATGACATTTTGCAGCATGTTTGCCATCTCGTTAAATGAATCTTTCAATTTCTGAGGTTGCTGCTTGCGACCAGTATTGTATTCCGATCTATAACTATGTGATTACTTACGTAATGAATGCTTACTTTAACCGCATCTATCCAGGAACCTATTGATCTGTGAACCCTTCTCCTACAATTTCATGACGTCCCTTAATTAAGCAAATTGTATAACATACTTCGTCTTAACAGATGAACAGATATTGTTATGTTCCACCTGTTGGCTACTGACCGGTTTCTCGTAGTTACCAGAGTTGCGCACAAAAAAATCATTCCCAATAGGAAACGAACGTCGCTTGCAAGCCACTGGCGTCTGAAATGCTTGTTAGATTAAATACAGACCAATATTTTTTGAAAACATTCTTTAAAGAGTATTATCGATTCAGTTATAATAATAGTTAGTGATAGTGATCAGATGCTTCTCACATTTCAGTTAATAATCAGCTCACATTTTTATAATGAAACGAATAGGAGAACAAGACTCACATATTTTAATACTTAATGTTGTATAACAAAAACACTACCTGGTCAGTGTTGAGTTCCAACTCCGCAACTAATGCATCAATTGTTGCAATAGGATCTGCATTGTGAAGAAGTCGAGATCGAATGTTAGATGAATTTGGTAAACTAGCCACTGAACCACGCATCGTCACAATGCTGGGTGGTTGTAATGGCGTAAATGCACCCATTTTCCGTGTAGAAATTTGGACTTCTTCCGATCTCGCACTACGAAGTGTGTTGTGTCGCTGGTCCTAAAATTCACTATCCCCTATTTTTTGATAAATTATACAAAGTATATGAAACTTTTATATGGAACTAAATGTATCAACCATAAAACTAACAGCAATGCATGTAAGGAAGATATTATCAAACAGAAAAAATATTGCCTGAGATCCAGGTCTCCATAATATTGCACCGAAATCATGATGTCTCTGCTCTACTATCCGATTGTGTGATGGAACCCTTTGTAGTGGGATTTGATTACTATTTATATCGTAATTACTTGCCCTAAAATGTTATCAGATGCCGATATATCAACAAAAAAATGTTATCGCTTGTAATTTCATTTGAATTAATTGACACGTTCCCTTTTTAGTGATTTTCTCTTTTATAAAGAGTTGTAAAAATTGAAATAGATTGAATAAGACGAACCAAACTTTACTGTCATGAAATGATTGAGAAAAACTGCCAGAATTATTCAAGTTGCTAATGCTCCCAGTTGGAAAGTTGAACGTGGCTTGCACCTTTATTGGTAACGGTTTAATTGGATCTGTCTGTTGGAGGTACTGGCGCGTTGAACCTTGATCCATCTGACGAGCGTTTGAATGTCTGCAAACGAAGTGAAGTAGCAGATAAAGGAATATTATGGAGTTTTTATGGAAAACACCGAATAATACGGACAGAACGAAGAAATTTACTGAAGCTAAATTTACTGAAATGATAAGTGAGAGACACTATGAGAGAGCCATTCAACAGGTTGAATTGAAGCAAACAGTTACATTAATCCTTACCTTACATAACTGCCTTTGGAAGCAACATTCTGAATAAGATCCGGCACATCTCGCGCTTTTTTCTTTTTACGAACCACTGAATTGATTGCTGCTACTTCCGCTGAACAACTTCCTAACGAACGTTCGTCAATATCATGTTCCTGAAGCAATTACTACCAATTAAAATGCATTGTCATGTGTTATTAACTGTCCAGTATGCTATTTTTAGTCATTTCAGATTATATATCCTGAGAAATATCCATTTCAAATCCTAGTCCTGGTCAGAAAGTTAGCGTACTATGATTGCTTGCTGACAGCTTTACCTAGTGAATATAGATTTTGTACATACATAAAGTGGCTCTACGCAGGAGTCAAAAAGAAAAAAAAGTATGTTCCCAACTTTCGTTTTTTCAGGAAAGCTGTGATCATTTTCTCCAGTCCGATTTCTTTCAAGCACCTGTGCAACCAGTATTCTCGTTACAATGTCTGACAATGATCAATTTCTTATTTGAAAAACAAGGATCTCTGGAAAAAGCTAAAATATTCAGTGATTCTGGCCGGGGAAAGAAAAGCGTCAGCGAAACAGTAACAGATTTCAAATTTCTGCCTTCTCTAAACTTCGCATTTATTTCTCCTAGTTTCTCATGTTCTAAAATTCAAAATGCATGAAAAGCCGACTTTCCGACTTTTTCACAAATTAATTACATTTTCACAATTAATTACAGTCGTGCCAGGAATGATTAGAACATTAACATTCAAGCAGTGATAATCAGTGACCCGAGATTAGCAGCTTTTCAGAAATGTTTTTTGAATCCGATAATTAAATGATCCAGAGGGCACTCCTTCTGGGTTATTGAAAAATTCTAATAACCTAGAAGTTACAACTGACTTTACTAGTTGTGGTACTCGAAAAAAAATTGCAGTTTTCGCCATATTTTCCCAAAAAAAAATCTGGGCGAGATCTGCTTTTCGCTGCTGATTTTCTGTAAATTTTCTATGATCGCTTAATAGGTTCCCAGAGCAAGGACTGAAATTTCATAGCTAACATGTCGTGTTTCTAAAAAACTCCAAAAAGTAACTAGTTTTCAATCTATTTACTCTTTGGAATGGGTCAGGATGCTTTTATTCGTTTTATTCCACTAATCAGCAGGCAAGGACCAATTTTTTTCAAGCATTTCTTCCTATGACGTCCATGTAAACTGCAAATCATATGTTTCATAATCAGACATCTTATCGTATAGGTAATCTTACGGTGCAGTTTTCTGGAAAGTTTGATAGAAATACGGAGAACCTAACCCTTATTTACAACGTTCTTCCGACCATTCCACTGCATTCACAAGTTATTTACAACTTTCTAATAAAAGAAAAGTAACTGTGCAGTAAAGAAAATAATAATATATAGTTTAGAAGGGCATGGGATTGTTGAAACGTATAGTAAAACGAATGTCAAAGTTATCAAGACAGGGTTTGCTATGGTCGGAGAGCAACTATTAAAGAAACCTTAACACAAATGGGACACACACCTCTTCTACCCCACCAAGAATCAAATCTGGTTTTGGTTGAACAGCGACCCATGATTTGATATCTCCAGTGAGCCATCTCCTGGTGAAATCCATCCTTTCACCTCTAAGTTTACGATCTTGTCGTGCTAGCAAAATCGTCTCCGAAATTTCAATATCTTCTGATGTTTGCTCGAACGAAGCAGCTTCTTCTTCCAGGCAGTGCTTCTCAGCAGCCTAAACGAAATTATTTAATTGAGAAAATTTCTCAAAATATACTAAAAATAATGCCGAAAAACAATCCATCTGTCTTTTATAACTTTGCCGTAAATGGTGACCTCTGCCCCGCCCCTCCCCCTTACGTTCCTTTCATTTCAGTTTTTATCTGAAATTTGTGGATCAAAAGTCCTCAATATTCGTGAGAAATGAGGAATGTCTCCAATAACAGTTTACCCTTGGCTTCGAGGCGTACAGCGAATGCCTATTGGTAGTTGCAAGGGATACCTGTCGCGAATCCATCTCTCCCAGGCCAACAACGTTGACTACTGCTCGCTTAGTATTACTGCAATAGTTCAAATTATACATTTTACATTTGATGTATTTTATTACCATTATCATTTTCTTCACATATCCTAGAATATTCTAATCTTATTTTGCAGAAGGCAATGATTTAAATAGAAAAATCTTTGTGCAAACGTTTGATAAGCTGTTAGGAATGACACTTCTTCTTATAATAGTGAAAACATTATGAGAAGTCATCTATCAGTTACATTATATTTTTAATTTTGCATAAAATGAGATGAGATAAAACTCTCTTCATCTCATTTCGATATTTGCTCTCCAAATACTTCTTGATTTATATAATAGCATGATGCAATCTAACCATAGAACATTGCCATAGAATTATATAAACACACAGAAGCATCATAACTGAATAGCAATTATTTAGTATTTGTTCCTGAAAAGGACAATTACCCATTATGCTCTTGTAACCTCACTGGTGATACAGCAGCCTTCATCGAGTCTGTGCCACTGTTTGAAGCTCCTTCATGTGTCAGTGCCACAGGAATTCCACGTGATTGCTGCGTGTTATTTACCTACAAATCTTCGGGTTATTATGTAGATAGCTATTGACTGGACGGTATGTCAGTACTTACTACCTGATCGCCCTCTTTCTTGAGGTCTTCGAATATCTGGTCCAAATAGTCAATGGCTTCTTTAAATTTATTCCTATGATGGTGATGCCTGTATCGAGCCTGATCGATCATCTGATCCAACTGCAGAGTAGATCGATCATCCAGTGTACCACTGTAATGCGCGATCCTCTTATTTAAATATTTCCCACTTATCAAATTGTTTTATATTTTGCATATTTTCAAGCAATCACTACACCAGCATCATTAGCTGCATATCAAGGAGATGGTGTCGCCCCAAATACGTCTTCTTCTTCTGCTAGGAGAGGAACACATTGCAAAACAATATCATCTATTTCTTAGAGGGGTTGGTGAAGAAGATAATGGCGATAAAACTATGACAACAATAGAAATGATAATGATGCAGGTGATATCTAGTTTAATAATGATGAAGATAAAAGAGGTGATAATAAGGTGATGCATGTAATAAGCAACCATCATTCCTGATATTCCGACAATATGAAAATCACTGCATAACACTGTAATAATCAATTGCTTCTGTGAACCTATTATTTGTAATTAAGCTCTCTTAACTGATCACTTTAAAACACTACAACAACTTCGAGTAATAAAAAACCAATCTTTCCGAAGCAAAGTGTGTCGTGGTGATGTACGTAATAATAATAATGATAAGCTCATCATATAAGCGGCATTCTACAGGAGCAAAGTTAAATCATTTTCGAAGTGATTGGAAAGCATTTCCTTCAATCTTTCGAAACTTGTTATTTAGTTTGCTGCATCTTAATGTCGAGAAAAGACAATGAATCTAAGATGAGGAAATGAGAAGGAAAAAGAACATAAGGAGAACTGAAAAGACACTTCCAAGACTTATGAACTGACCACCTTTTTCTTTTTTAACAACAATGAAATGTGGTATCAAGTGAAAACACTATAAGAAAATTGAAATATCGAATGTCGGTAAAGGTAAAGTGAACTGAAACGAAATAGAAGAAAGATAAAATTGTAAAGGATAATCTGCAAGTGGAAATGAAGTTCCGCCTCAATGAAGACTTCCTCAAATCATCCAGCATTTGTATCTTTATGTCTCCACTGTTATTTACACAAATACCAACTGTAACGATATTATCACCTCATAGTTAAAGATAAAGAAGAAAATCGTCGTTAAAGAAATGAATGAGAATTAATGAAGCTTATGATAAGGTAAAGAAAAGGCTGAATACAACAGTGAATCAAATTACTAATTCCAGATGTAATGGGAAACTTCACATTCCTTTTCCATTAGCTTATAGAAACCTTCAAAAAATACATGTTATGTCTCCACGATATCCCGCACACTGTTATAGATATGATGCTTATTCTTAGAAATTATAATACAATTCATCATTTTTGCCCCATAAAAATCTCAGATTCAACAGTCCACTTCCACTTACTATCATCAATTCGTATCTTTCTTACAAATGCCACGATAAGATTCCTATCAATTTATTTCTCACCCAAATACTCTTAGATAATCTTATCATTTAGTGATTCTATATCAAATCAGTTCCCAGTCCCCATCTCTTCCCAGTAGACAGCAGACGGCCACTTCTAATAACCGCTGATTCAGTTCTTCAAACATCCCTTCCCTTTCGCCCATATATATCGAAGTCAACCAACCTACTGCAAGAACCGATGCTAGTTGCTGATTGACGTCCACTTCCGTCGATGCGAGTAACCGGTATGTGTGCCGCATAACGTTCATGCCGTGGCTGCGCCGCTGCTGCTACCGCAGCTGTGAAATTAGACGTTAAAGACGAACCTGTAATTAGTGGCAGCTCAAATTTATGTCAGCACTATTCGAGTTATATCATAGTCAAATTTGTATTCCCTTAAAGTTAAGCTTGTGGTCGAGTTATATCCTACTCAAATTATAATCATAATTTATATCTCTACTTAACTTGGATCACATTACATTCAGATCGATCTTCAAGCAATGTCAAGTTCCATCAGTACAGCAGCATCTAAATGTCATAATGAATGCTAAAGTAATATTAGTTCTAGGGACTAGAAACTTATATGAAATACATTAAATTTATTATGAGTAATGGCAAACAGATGGCACTTCTCTCAGCATTCACCACTCACTGATTACTTTTTCAGCTGCTAAATAATAGTGAATTGAATTGAGGCACAAAGATTTGTTTGATCAAAATTTTTATGCGAAATGACCATCACTTCGTGTGCTATTATCAAATTTAATTTGAATGATTTATAGAAACCAGCTGTTTCAGAAGCTTGTAAGGAAGGGAAAGCAGAATCACTACTTGAGCATGAAATCATCAACTCTTATCACTATTATTATTAACAAATTATTTCTGAATGACCAACCTTCAACAGAAGGATATCTATTGTGGTCGTGAACTGGAAGTTGCATCGTTATATCAACTGTGGGTGTATCCTGCAAAAACGACTGGTACATACATTTGATTGAAACACTAATATCTATGATTTTAACCGCATCACAATTACGCAACTTCTTGTAATAATTACTGAAACCGAAATGATAAGAAATAATATAATGTTATTTTGAGTGCTAAGATCACTTCTACAACTGAAGTTTCGGTGGCCTACTTATAGGAACAGTTTTATTTCTTATAATTTGTTTCCAGTTTCCTTATAATCAAGAAATTTTACCTGTATATAAAGACAGAAGGAAGGGAAAATCTGTAATGGAAAAAGATGATGTACACAAAAGGATCAGATTGTTTTTAGCATTTGACGGGTTTCTGACATTGCAAGAGGGATGGAAGGATTGGAAGGAAAGAAGATAAGTCTATTCCTAAATAACATTAAGTGCAATTAGATAAAGTGGCTGCTAAAAAGAGAATGTGATGATAAGGGTAAATGAAGAAGCGAAATCAACGGAAGAAAGGAAATTCAAATGCCTTAGATGACTGACATATCATATTCTCTCTTTAAATACTAATTCGTCGTATCAGTTATTTGCTTTAACTTTATTCTAATCAACGCAGAAATGTCAACAACCATTTAACAATCAAAAAATTGCTCCCTCTTTAGCAACCAATTGAGAATTCTCTATTAAAAATATTTTGATTCGCTTATTTTTTGTTACACAAATTCATGTAAAGCTATGGAGAACTGGATGTTGGTGAAATTTCTTAAATAGATTAATGAATTTTTGTGTCAACTTCTTGATCAATTTAAAAGATTGTTGTATCTTTTCTAAAGATGAAACTCACAATAGAAAACTAGCTATAATGAAATAAACAATGTCAGTATGCAAATATTGGAGGTAGATAGTAAGGAAACCTTTGTGTCTTAGACATCTAGGGCAAGGAAAGAAAAGGAAAGGGCATGTTCATTTCAGCACAATAATTTGTGTGGAATTTTGATGAGGTGAAATACTGCCATCTAATATTTTCAAGACACCACGGGATGCGGTCAAAGCAAGTAAATTAATCCAGCTCATCTAGTTCAGCGTCAGTATGTTTTATGAAATCACCCTCATCCGTTCTAAAAACACTATGTAAAAGGGAACACGCAAGTCACCACAAATGAGTCATACAACTACCGAAAAGCAATAAGACCAAAAACATTCTTGAATAGCGGAAGAGATATAAAGTGAAGAGGGAGGAAAAGAAAACGGTGGTGTAAGAAAGGCTAATCAGAGGAGATTAGTACAAGTGTAAAATGATCAGAGACAGTTAGGCGGAAGATGCCCTACTAATGATGAAGAGTCTAAATTCTGAGAACCTGCAATCAAGTGTTGAGCAGCTTGAGGAATAGGCCTTTGGACCGTTGCACACAGCAGGAAATATTGCGAAATGTTGCAGAAGCGGTGATGCTGATGGATCAGAGCTTGCCCAATTGTTGTAAATATTCAACTTGTCCAGTACACAACACAACAGGAACAGAACTTCTGTTATTTCCTCTTCACCCTCTTATTGTTCCTACACTACACATCTTTTTCCTGATATTTCTTCCCGAGTGTAGAGGACCCTATGATCCCTTCCATCAATCGCTTACTATTTTTCTACTGATTAATTTGTATAACCTGTACAGTTGGAATATCGCCATTAGACAAGGCCGATATTTTGCGAAGCTGGAACGCCTGATTCTGCAGGCTTTGTTCGAATGGTGACAATGGAGTATCAAATTCAAAAGATGTCCTCGTCAACGACATCGAACGCTCTGATCTGAAGTGGGACTTTTTTGCTTCACTTGCCCAGCCAAATTAATTGTTTCAGGTTTAAACAAATAAGCGATCTATGAGTCATTAGGTATCATACGACCGCAGGCTAACGATAAAAATGCCTGGCACATGAATGCCATGAATGTAAAAGTGCAAGCAATCGGGTAAGAAATTAAAATGGATTCAAATGGTACAGTAGAGGAAATTAAATAAATTCAAAAAAATAATAGTAATTGATACCTGCTAACTGGTGAATTTTTCAGTCCACGATAATTTATGGATAGCAACTGTTCCCTGTACGTCCGTGCTGGGGTTAAAATAGTCTCCACTTCGACACTGCCCAAACGTGACCGACTTGGCGCTGTGATGTATGATACTTGACGGATTGGTTCCAGTATCCGAACTAAGTTAAGTGAATTTGTGATTTTGTATACCATACCCATATAATGGCCATTTAATTAAAGAATTGTAAATAAAGTTTCTGGTATTAGGGAGCATGAAATTTGACAATCCTACGATGATGAGGACAAATGATATGGGAACGTGGAGTATTCCGATGTCACTGCAACAATACGTTAATTGTTGCCTCAATTCCCCGACACTGTGATATCTATAAACCCGACTTGATTTTACTGCTGATTTTCCTTTAAGGATCTCATTTTCGCCGAAGTATAAATTTCAAACTTTAAAGGTTTTAATAACTATATGTACAGCACTGATTATAAATTTAATGATATCATTAACGGCAGTTAAAACAAGATAGTTTCTGTTTTGCTCGTTTTTTACTATATCTTGAGAAATAGACCGGTTACTACATATAAATACGCATACAATTATCAAAGACTCACCAGCACAGGCTCGCATTAGTTCGGAAGCTGCTAAAGGATATGACGATTCCCTACTACCAAGCTCTATTGGTTCACTGTGCATACGTTTCAGTTTATCGCGTTTATATTTCACATATTTTTCAAACAAGGAATGACCCGATAATATTAGCTTATCGTTCTTCGACAACGCCTGTAGTAAGATGTGTATAGTGAATGCGATGTAATCCTTAAGCCATTCAATCAAAAACAAACCATTGTTCCTAGCGAAATGAGAAACATTATAAGATGAGGAATAATAAAAAATATGTAGATGAAGTGTATAAATGACCTCGTCTGCGTTGACTTTCTGGGAAAACAACTGTTCGGATGCGCAGTTGACTTCGCTCGTGATCTTCTGCTCCTATAACTAAGAGTTTTTAAGAAGGCGAAAAAAAATGAGAAAACATAAGTTGGACTCACATTCACTTGTTCTGATTTTCGTTCCAAAATTTATTTATTTATTCACTCGATAAAGAATTGGCTACATCCCTTTCTTCTCTCCAAGGGGACGTAATCGTACAGGCTGCATTAAGTATCGTCCGAAGCGGATTTCGAAGAATGCATAAATAGTTGACAAACTCGTCAAAAAAGTTTAAAACTACAGCAATAAGGAACATTTCATGTGGTATTCAATAAGCAACTACACTTACCATATTGTTTTCTTCAACAATATAGGCTTGTTCAGAAGCGCTTTCTGCAGACCTAAATTAATTACCATTAGCTTTGGATATGAAACATCATTTTGTTTAAATGGGTTCTATTTCACGTGGAAATTTTGACTTTCCCTCGGACAATAGTTTCTGATAAACTGCTGTTAAAATAAAAAGGTACGGGACAAAAAAGTGAATATAATTTTGAAGACGTTCGATATCAAAATTACATCATATGAAAAGTTGAATAATGTAAACAACCTACGTAGGATAACGTTTAGGATGTGTAACTTGCATACGTTTCAGGCACCGATAGAAGTTTACGTCGGCTGCAGATGAAGTGAGAACTGTCACCTAAATGCAAAACGCTGGGATCAAAACACATTTCTACAGAAACATAACAATGAACAATGAAGCAACCCTGAAGAAATGACATGTTATTTTCAGAAGATGCCGGCGCTAAGACAAATGATAACTCTTGAATACTGCATGACATTCCTCACAGCTTAATTTCAGTTCTAAGTTTATCAAATTGATTGATTCATTTACAGTAAACATTGCGAGAGAAAGAGAAAACTTAGCAATGACCAACATAATTAATCATTACGGCTTTATATTATTACCTCACCTGAGCTCGGCATAAATTTCGTTCATCTGATCTTGCAAGTATTGATTTCCGAATAGTAATCACTCGCAAACAAGGCTCCTTTATTGCCACTGAACATGGGCTATGTCTCCTGGAACCTAAGTTGTAAAGCCCATAACATTAAATCGGGATATTAGCTTCTTTGGCAATTAGCTTTTCTTCTCACTTATCTATTACTTATCATAAGGTTCACTTTTTCATCATAAGCTCCACCTTTTCATTTTAATGATATCAAGTGTGCCTTCCATTGATCGTTTTCGAGATGTAAACGTTGCATCAAATTTAATCGCAACATCGATTATCGCTAACAATTTCTTGTCCATTTTGATAAGCCTGAATATAGTCTCAGCACTCTATTTCGATCAAACTTTCAGAACAAATTTCAAAAAAGGCCTGAAGAACTTTTGACCCTGTAGATTTACGCGAAGAAGTGATGCAATAGTATCGGATGATACTAGGTCATGCTAGGTCTCGTACTCCTGGAATATATCTTCCCCGCATTAACCAAATTATCTTGCATTGAACAGTTGAATGAAAATATCCTGATCAAAAATTAGTGTATTTACAACCCATGAAAATTTCACAGCTGATTCTTATGTAAATTTACTTGATGAAACACGGCTGTCGTCACATAAATGATTTGAAACATGAGAGGTTCATGAACTTATGGAACTTGGAAGTGCGACCATGATAAAGTCTACCTGGAATATTTCTGGCCGAAAGAAACTTTTTCGTTGTTTGCGGTCACTGGTTGAAACGCACAACTTAGTGTAATCTCGACTTGCCGGCGAGATTTTGATTTAGCTGCACAAATGGTCACTGCTGGTACTATGCAAGATATGCACTTTTTAGTAATAACCCCAAGGACTCTCTCATTGTTGCATGTTTCGTGTCTGAAATTTTCTTGTTTTTTATATTTCTGATTTTATACTAAGAATCTTAAGCCTCACAACAATAAGCACTTAGCTAACATCCGAAATCAATTAAATCTTAACTTTATAAAAAAGAAACACAAACCGCTGCAACCGTTTGTTATGGCTAATATTCATTTCATGATAATCAGGACCGCTCCAAGTACCCGGTACTGGAGATTTTGATTTCGAATGCCTTTCTTCTGAAATTCGACATTAGATATGTCTTCTATATCTATCACACATAATCTGATGGAGAGATTATATAATAAATTTTTAATAAAAAGAAAATGTTAGACTTAATAAAAATGAGTCTGAATAGAGGGAAAGAGATTGTATAACATTTGGAATTGTACAAATGCGCCAGTTTTGGTTTGTTATGTATACATCTGCCTCGATGAAGTACTTCAAACACTTTATTTACAACCATAACTTCATTTCAGCAATCAACAGAAGCGCCTTGTCCTGCTCTTATTAGCACGGTATATTGTAAAAACATTGATTTGACCAATTCTCATAGTGGACAGTGATTCACGGAGATGTGCAAAATGGATGGAGAAAGAGCAGTTGAAATGATTGATATTGATTAAGAAATACAGGATAAGTCTAACAAGTGAGCCTAGTCTTTTGATTGCATGGCTCTCGAACAGTTGTTGCGATTTTGCATGCATCAATATTATCGATACTTTGATCAAGATTTTTAAAAAGAATTAAATTATTTGATTATAATCTATAGTTTTGCATAAAATAACTCTTAATGTGTTTATATATTTCAAATGCTCTTAAGCAATTACGCAGTATTGATTGGGTTGCAAAAGGAACTTTGCGTAAAATTTCCTTCCATTCCATGCTGCTACAAAAAGCAGTAGCTAAGGTCGTGAAATTTTATTGAAGTAATTTACCTTCTCAACAAAATTAATTTAAGAAAGCACAGCAACTCTGAAACATTAGAATCTAAGGGATACGGTGGAAAAGCAACTGCTGATTAGTTTCAAGATATATTTAGAAAAGATTTTCGTTATCATCTGAAATTTTCCCTATAAGATGACACATACACATACACATACACACAGACATACACATACACATACAGACACACACATTCTCTTTCTCTCTGCACCTATTAAAAAGTGAAATGGTTCCGTCAGCAAGAACGAGCAAAATTCTGGTTTTTTCTAATAATTTCCGCCCCAATGGACCATCAAAAGCTAGGCAGAGTAGAATATTTACCTGTTCCCCTAACACTGAAATTTCACTTCTGCATACTTTGCAATTTTAAAACAGAATGTTCTATTTTTCTCTTATAGTCCTTACATAAAACTTATCCTAACTTGCAATACAAGAATGAAAACACTGTAAAGTCAAAAGTTGTCGTACACTCATCGTAATCGTAAATATGCTTTTGTAGATACTATATGATAGAACTGTCGAACTGCAAAATCTAACGATGCTGCTATAAGTTAATAACAATGGAATTAAGGCTTCCAATAATAACCTCCCAATGAAATAAAAAAAATTAGCTCTTCTGGGAGATTTATTGACTACAAACAAAACTATCTGTCTATGCCTCTCAGGCACGGAATTCCTTGGATAAAAACCAAAAAGTTACTCAAAACATAAAAATGGAAAAATGGAGAAATCTTTCGAATGCCGTCAAAAATCCTTTATAAACATTATCATAAATAGGGTCAGCATGATATTTCGCATTTCTAACTTGCAGGGTGATAATTCAGTAGCCAAAACATGACAATATAACGGAAAAAAATTGATAAATGTAGTAAGCAAACTTTCATCATTATATCTTTCAAGCTCACTCCATACTAAATACTTTTAAAAGCTAAAATTATAATTCACATAGCAAAAAGGGATGAAGCCAATTAAGTTGTGAAATGTATTTAAAGTGAGAAAATTCAGAGAAGACAATGAATAATTGGAAAGACAAGAACGTCATATGATATCAAAACCAGGTTTGTCTAGGGGAATTTCAGTTTTGAGACTTTTTTGAATTGGGAAAAAATTTTATATCGATGAATAAAGCCAGCTGTCTACGGACGCTTTCTATGTATCAACAGTATATACACTAGGACGGAATGGCATTCCCTTTGATCTATAAAGTAAAATTTTATAAAAAATGATGAGTTCTGTTTTATTTTGATTCCACAATAAATTAACATGTTTGAAGTGAAATGGATGAAAGCGTTGGAAATATCAACTATCGTTTCGCGATCCGAGCACCGTGAAACCATCCTGAGCTACGATGCGACAAACCCGCAGTTAAAACAATGAACACAATATGATGAGAAAGGGAAAGACAAATGTGAGATGCAATCTTGAAAATGAGGGTAAAATAATCATAAAGATAATTCGCTAAATTTTGGAATTTGCAGTAAATTATGTCAGGTGTTAAGCAATGTCAGATGTCTGATCACAGGTGTTATAACAGATCACATTATGTATAAATTACTGACATTTTTCCTGATTATATCTGGTAGATTCTATTAATAATGTGGTTCAGAGTTTGTAGAAAAATAAAAAAAATTAGGGGAAGAGCAAAAGAATTCAGCAATGAGCCTTATGGAAAAATAGTAAAGGATCGAGAATAAGTAGAATTGCGATGATTTCAAAATTTATAAACCTGAAGAATTGAAATCAGCCACGTCAACATCATATCGTTTCCTGCTTGCTTCGAAGAGATTGCCCATTAGTGTGGCCATGATCTGTAACAAAGATGAAGGAATTATTTATCCTCAGAGAGAAAAAGGAAGGAAAAAGGGCCAAATTTGCAAATTTTTACTCAGCTTGGAGATAAAAATTGATGGGATGGAGGAACGGAATCAATGGGTTTAAAGTGCAAGAATGGTTGTATGGGAACAAAATGACTGAGAAAAGATCGACATTCGCCGTTCTACAACTATGATGTGAATAAATTTTTGAATTCTCAACGAGATGAGAGACAGCAAAAGTGGCAAAAAACAAGAAATGACCATTGGAAGAAATACCAAAGCACTCTTTGCCTAAAGTAAAATGAATAGTAATTTCTTATTTGACAACACTTTTCAATCCTTTTGCTTAGATATGTTTTACTAATGGAAATTCTGGGAATTTCGAGTGTATCATGAAAGTACGTTTGAGATTAAATAATTTGAATTAACGACAACCAAAATGTCAACTGGATTTAAAAAATAATATCTTTAACTTCCTTGTTATCACAAAATATAGCTCTTTTTACAGATGATCCGTAAGTACTAATACTGATAGAGGAATGAAGGTATTGAGATATTTTTTTTTCTCTTACACTTTGTTCATTCATTTGAAAGATGTGAGCTTCAATATTCCAGTAAAATTGCATCCCAGCCGATGAACATAGCAATGAAACTTCTTTCAGTGACGATAGTATCCTTCCCTCTTTCCTTTTAAAAAAAAAATAGCTTCTTTAGGAACAGTGGTATAACTAACTGTATTTTTGCGTGAGTTGTTAGGTGACGAAAGGGTTATCGGCGGTATCGGTCGCAGCGACAGAAGCTGATCCGAACAAGACTTTTCTCTCCGATCTGCCTGCTGTACGTCGATATTTGGCACTTCCGTCGGTTTGTCTTTACATTCCGTACATTTATTGCCTAAATAATTTTCATTTCATTGGAAAGGTAACATCGGATTGCTTACAAAATACAATTAAATGGAAATTAAATTACACAGGTAGCAAGCATCAGCCAAGCAAAAGATCAGTATTAATTACATGCCAAATTCAAAATTTCACCCTGTTATCATTGCACTGAAAATATAAACAAATTTATTAACAAAATAAGAAAAGTACACCCACTCTTAAATTACATTTCAATACAAACATTTCTGCATTGCTAAGTGTAAAAAAAAGAATGAAGAGAGTTATTTTAGCTGAATTCTTTAACTTGGCAAGTAATATTACCAGTTACATTATTCAATTTCGAGAATGTCAGCGACAAATGCATAATCATATCGGATTATCGAAATACGATGATGAAATTTTGTAAGTAAAATTAAGGCAATAATAAGGATTATGTCATTATGCTGTAAATCAATCCATGTTGAAAGTCAACTCCTGTTGTAAAGATGTCCTAGGTTAATTTATTTTGTAAAGAGCCTCTGGTCTCATAACCAAATCTTTGTGTAACTGTCGGAATATTGCAAGGAATTTTTATGTCATCGTCAGAATATTGTAAGAAAATCTCTGTGCCTAATTGTAATTCAACAACTCATTTGTAAACGTCTTCTGTAAACAAATTTTCATTATATAAAGAATTGAGATCATCCGAGATTTATTCATTCATTCATAACGCTCACTCAGTTTGCTCAATCAAAAGTGCTCGTCGATTCATTCAACAGTCTTCAAATAGTTTACGTCAGTCGAGAACTACGCCGTCCTCTACGGACGGTTATTCCAACTCAGCAAAATGAACTCTTCCCCATATCTCATTCATTACGAAATCTATCAACAAAGCGACAATCAATTGTTACCGAAGGCAATGACAAGAGATTTGTTAATTAAAGTTGGTATATTGCTTGTTTACTGTATAACTGATTTTTTTTACGCATTGCTTGTTTACTGTATAACTGATTTTTTTAACGCATATCAATTTGCCGTTGCTTTATACTTTTTTAATGTTTTTTAGCTAGTAATAATGTGTAGATACAATATTATAACCCGAATAAACTTCAATTGCAGATAAATGAATTTAACAAAATTAGCTTTCCCGACTAATCATGGGTTGTGTAAAAAAGATTTGATCTTTGCTGGAAGCAAGGTAGACAGCAAAGTGTAAAGTGATAAAATAACGTGTGGTAGAAGAGTGGTGCAATGCAAAGGCGCATTATTTGTGTGTTAGAAATGAACGTATTCAGAAGTACCTTTCTTTCTTTTAGTAGTTACATGCTTCACCTCCTTTTTGTGATTGATATAATTTGTTTCGAGTGTTACGTTATCGCATTTCTGTCCTGATTTTATCTTTGTAAACGAATGTAACTCTTTCATCAGCTTGTCTTCCCTCTCCTTATCAGCTTTTTCAAATTGTGCTGCAATTTGATAGTAATATATAATATGCGCAGCAACATTAGAAGTTTAAAGTGATAGGAATCAGTAAAACAAAGAACAATGGATGCATATTTCACATTGAATACATCTCTAAGGAAGGTTGGAGTAAAATGAAATAAACAATTTGGAGAAAAGTTAGATCTTTATTTAGAATATTTCATTACCAACTTTTCCTGCACTTTTCCGATAACTTCCCCCATACAGATTTAATGCACGCAAATGCAAATTGCCATCGTAATCACAGATTTAAAAAAGAAATTAAATCATGCATGGGAGACGATAGACTCTATAAATCCTAAAAACATTTGTACTTTTCCACTATGATATCACATGGATTCAGAATGACGCGCGTCATAAAAAATTTATAACAATGCAAACTATTACTGGTAGACATATTGAGAAGAAATGAAACTCTTTTCTGATATGATACACAGGTAGAATTAAGAGGTCGGAATTTCAAGTAACATATAATCGATTGAACAGATGAAGAGTAAAAGTGAGGAGGAAAAGTCGTGGAAGCATTACCAAGCAAATCAAAGTCAACGATAATAACGAAAACTCTAAATGCATCTCTCTCATTCAATATCATTCACGTTGTAGTCATCAATATGGTCATAATGATATTTGAGGAGTATCCACTCATTTGTAGCCTAGACGTCTAAAATGCACTAAGGAGGAGGATCGATGGCTTTGATGATTTCGGGATTTTTTGCATTTCCATCAAGCTGTTTATGAAAAACAGAAGGTTGTATCCGGTACCTATCTTGAGATTCAAACATAGCACTGAAGCATTTACTTCACATAACCTTAACCTAAATATTGGTATTGATTTTGATGACTTTCAGTGATCAGTGGTCCCATCACTTACATCAATAAAGACAACGGCAGTCCATGGGTGACTCACATAGTAATCACAAAGATAGTTTCAAAAATGATGATTAATAACATCCACGAATGTTCGTAAAAACTGAATGCACTGAATGTTCGTAAAAACAGTTCAGCTGAATTCTTCAATTATTGATGAGTTTCAGCACATACAATATAACAGGAATGGAACAAAAACTAAGTGGAAAATATGTGATAACAAAGATGGATTTCTGGAAATCTGCACCAGACAAACCTAATAATAAAGGATGTCTATAACTGTCTTAGAAAGTATAAACAAGATCATATCTTTCTACAAGTGTTACCAATCAACAAAAGGAGATAGGGAAGAAGTGGAGGATGAGAAATTTCGCTGATGAGATTTTAATTTATCTAGTCCAGTCCTCAATTCTCTCACTTATTTTCATCTAAATTAAAATTAAAGAAATATGCATCAATTATTCTTCCCAGTTTAACATAGTTCATTAAAATGTACAACACAGGTCAACTGCTAGTATTACAATGATTTGTAAGAGAAAATGAAACTGACCTTTATCGCATTCTTTGGTTATTATTCTCAGTTCTGATCCCTCACCGTATGTTGTCGGAAAAGCAATCAAAGATGATGTCCTAAAGAAATGATTGCCAAACACGGCGCACATGAATATAATCACTGAGATGAGATGTGTACTGCTTACTTCAGGACACCAATCAATTATTACTTGTACGCAGAGCCGTTTTTACCCTTTCTCATATGCAACAAAATTTCCAGAATAAACTTTGCACATAATAACTTTAGCTACACCAAAGGGATAAATATTGACATTTCAAATTTGTAATAAAATAGTGAATGGTTACTTCAGAGTAGTAAATGAAAGGGAAAGGTACTAACTCAGAACTGTCCAAGATCTGACCACGTTTCATTGCCTTCTCCTTAGCAACACTGTCCTTTCGAATATCAGTTTTCTGAAAAATCGTTACATTCTGATAAGCTCCTTTCTATGTAAATATTTCATGCAAAAGTAATGTATGCAAAGTGTAGCGTTTGTCAAGAAATCTCTCATCCTTGTTCTATCTCGAGCAGATGTTTTCCAATCGAACGAAAAAGAAAAACGGCAACAGAAATTCTTTTATTCGAATTCACTCAGAAATCTCTGAAAAGCTATACCATAGTACTACAAATCGATCGACTCACCAAACTTATCTCTTTATCAGTTGTCATCATTCCTTTTTCTGCACTCGTCAGTAACTGTTTATTCTCAGATCTGCCTGAAAAATCTATATACATATACGCATAACTTTCTGGTAAAATATTGTCCTGTTTTTCAATCACTTACCTTCATCATTAAATTTCTTCTTAAGTCGTTTCCGTAACCTCCGTTTACGTACCTCAGTCCATCGTTCAGTGTCGGATGAAGAATTTGATTCTACTCCTAATTTGCGCTGCTGCGACTGATGACGGAGTGCTGTTAATTTGAAATTAAATAATTAGGTAATGTTTTCAAGAGTTATTCTGCTCCCAGTCTATTGAGCACTCCAAAAATTGTTCTAGATTAATAACCAGGGAAGATCCGCATTAAAACAAGGCACTTTGAGAAAGTGGTTACCAAATTTTTACAAATTAACCTAACCGAACATTCACGAAATTATTCGTGTTATGATTTGTTTAGAAATAATTACTTCTCTCTTTGCTGGGTAATAATGGACCAGTTAATTCGCGTTCACAAATATTCGTCGGTATCGGTGAATTGCGAACAACTTCATCTAATATATATGATTTAACATTTTTATCCAAAGTATTAGATTGCCACGAAGAGCGCAACGGTCTTAACAACATATCTCTGAAATTAGTATAGAATTTAATAACAATCCTTTTCATCAAGTAAATAGGTTGAGAGGTATGGTAAAGGAAACGACTTACGTAGAAATAGAAGTATATTTAGAGAACTTCGTAGTATATGCGCTTGATTTTGGTCGAACCGGGGAATAGCTTCTGAAAACAGATATGTAATCCCTGGAAACGACCCTTATTCTTCTATCTAGGTAGCATATAAAGTAGATACTAATAATTAAATTGCACAGTCCAGCAAAATATCTGTTTAAGGATTGTCCTAGATAAATGTTAGTCTGGAATGACAAGGAAAAGTACAACGAAGAAATTTTACCTTGACATGTATTCTGAAAATCGTCCCGAGTTCCACCGGGTAGAGTAGAAACCACGAATGGGAGTATGCTGCTTAAATGACATTATAGAATTATGAAAAAAATGATTTATCAGTGAATATTAGAGAAACGATTTCTGAATAATATATTAAAAGAAGCAATCATTGAGATTATATCCCAAATCTTCAACGATTTATTATGAAGAATTTCAAAACTGAAAAGCTCAGAAGTACTCTCAGCAGTACTTCTCTTACTCTTAATAATGTATCATACGGTCGATTACCGTAGTTTGTTCATCTATATAGTTCTTCAACGCGTTAAGTGAACTACGTAATTCATCGCCGTTGTTATTGGTAAAGTTACGTCCGTTTGGTATACTGTTACGACGTGCTCGTATTGTTGCAAGTGTTGAACATACTGCACCACCAATCTCATCTCCGTGAACAATGCGCAAACGCGCAGCGTCAGCCATGCGACGGCGCCATGGACGGTCCGTTCTGAGCGCTACGTTTCCATGATTGCTGCAGCATAGAAAATGATGTAGGTACTATTCGAACTATAGCTATTCGGATGGATTGCAAAATAAGATTTACCTAATGACCGTCTGCGACATATTGCTTAAGAAAGATCTATTGTAAAGTGATGTTGAAGTTGATGATGATGATGATGATACGAGAACTGTATTTCGTACTTCTGACTGAAACGACCGAACTGCGGAGGATGAAGGCAATGTCCATCCTTAATTTTTCGTACATTAAAAATATGGAAATGGGAAAACTAGCAGGTTATAGCTGACAATAGATACAATTCCAACAGAGTGATTAAGAAATTTATGGATTAGATTTTTATAAATTATAAACGAAACAGTTATTTCTGTCCTGTCTAAAAATCTCGGGGGTGCTTGGAGATAAGGATGATGTATCTAAAAATAAATTCGTGAACATCGCACGAAGTAAGTTGGCAGTAGACTGTACAACAACGTGGAAAAATTCAGCATAACGAAACAAAAAGCCATATAAGAAGAACTATATGATACCAGATAATCAATGGATTACAGAAACTCACTGCTATTGACGATGACGGCATTTTCTCGTGCATTTCTTATAGACTTATTGTATGTTGTATTCTTTCGATTTTTCACTGAAACAAATTCTATCGCTATACTATTCCTTATGTAATGTTATGACATCATATAAAATCTGATCTAGAAACCTCATCAGCAAGTGAAAATGGGGGAGTTTATGTGTTAACACATGCTCCTGAAAGTTTAAGCGGTAATACATATTCTTGGAAATCTCAAACAAGTTTAAAATACAATGGCGTCTGTTGACCGATAAGGGTAAAGTGAAAAACCATCAGGTGAAATGACCTGTCCGGGTGCTACCCTGCTAAAAAAGTGTCCAGAAACAAACGGTTATCAAAGAGCCAAGGAAGTCGAGGCGATGTCCTATTTGGTGTTTTATTATTCATCAGTGATAACACAGAGTCTCCAAAACGTGCAGAACGCTCCCTTATATACGGACCGGAGTTCCTGTAATATCATTATTTGTATCTTCAAATGAATGTTTACTGCGCATATAAATCTGTTAAAAAAATTCACTTTATCTCACACTGAAACTAAAATTGTTTATTCTTTGAAGGCTGTTTTCAATTAGTTAGACATTCATGTAAAGGAAAATGCATTTGTTTGCTTCCAATAGCCACTAAAAAGCACTGTTATGAAATGCACTTAACTGATTATTTAAAATCAGTTGGAAGCACCTTCTAATGATAAGAGAGATAGAGGCGAAGAAAGATGAGGGAAAAGATATAATATCAGATATCTACTGGACACATAAATTAACGCTAAAGAAACAAACAACAAATGCTGGTAATGAAAAACGATTGAGTAAGATGGAAGATGTAGCGTAAGCAGAACCATTAGAACCAAACTTCATTACATTCGTCAGGTTATTTTGAGAAATATATGCTAATATAATATAGATCATTGAAGGGAATGTAGTTGATGTGATATAATCGCATTTCCAACTCTATCACACCAATCTTTAAGGATCCATAATATTTTACATAACTGTATAGTGCTCAGTCATCCAAAGAAATCATGAAAAACACATCTGAAAGAACAAACTTCAATTCGATGTTGTTTTTGCTAGCAGACTGTGTGTCAAAACGTCCTAATGGGGGCATCGAGTAAGACGATTTGGTATCATAACCCTTTGATAGTGATTCGGAAAAAGGCATAGATCGACTCCAGTATCCATCACCAGCAGTTCCATCACTTTCTAATGGTTTGTTCCAGCGCACCGAATTCCAACTACAAAGCAATTTTGTCGTGGATAAACGCTCCATTTATTTTCGTTTAAATATCCAGTTATCGCGCAATTCAATGTTTCTCAAAATTTCTTACGAAAAATTTGCTTGAATAGAGGGTGCTGCACTGCCATTGCAAAAAAGGTGATGTGATTCTTTTATATTTAAAATTGTCCCAAACAGATTTTATCCATTTTTTTACGAATGATTATCAAACATTCACATCATTAACGATTACTTCATTACTATCACTTGAATACCAACTGTACTAGACCTTTTCAGTGTCACTTTATTTTTCCCATTTAAAAAATATATAGGAGTTAAATCGAGAGCTCCTTACAATATGTTTATACAAGTGGGATTTCAAATAATATCAATATAGACCTGGTACCATAAGTATGCGGTGCGATAACTCTTGTGACATTTTCGCGACGCTTAACTGTCGTTGAGCTACAATCATTACCAGCACTAACCCAACGTTTATGGTACTTGCCCGATGACACTACCATTTAATTCCTGACATAACTCAAATTCATTATAAAAATGAATTGATCAAAAGCTTTGTTGAAAATTCATGTAAGAACGCAGAAGTGATAATTAAACTTATAACAGTATTTTTCTCATTTCACTTCTCACCTCAATAGAAAGAGGTGAAAAACGCTTCTTTTGCAATACCAGAACGACGTATCGAAAAAGGCAGCCAACCTTCCGGATACCCCACAACGAACTCCGGCCTACACCGTGATCTAAAGTAATTCAATTTTAATAATAAAATTATTTTTTTTTAAAGAGGCATCACTGACGCTAAGGAGATAATGCAACAACTTATAGAGAAAAATCGTTGTATAGTGAGAAAGGCTAGGAAATGATGCTTAAATCATTGACAACCATACATAAATGGACTAGTTTGAAATAAATGTTTATTACTAAAAATAATACATCATATATAATAAAGGTTCCATAACTAACGTAACCTGATTGTACTTGAAAAATAAATGATTCTTGAGAAGAATTTTTACCGAAAAGTTATACATTTTTCAGCTTAATTTGTTTCATTTCCTCATTTATGATTGCCTACGTTTTTTGTGATTGTTTTTCCCATCCAGGCAAACAGTACTAAAATAATTATCAAAACTGTAAAATTTTCTGTCCTTTTAATTGTGTTCTCTTTGCATATCCTACAAAGAAGTTTACAGATAAGTTATTATGCGTTTAAATTCACAGAAAATAATTTGAGAAATTATGAAAAACTGAAAGTAATTTGGGAAATAATAAGAAAAGATACACAATCCACTTCATTGCTGAATTGCAGAAAAGCCAACAAGAATGAGTTAAGAAAAGGTCAACAAAAAATGTTGCAAAGCAACAACAATTTTTAAACTATTACAAATATTAACAGTATTGCATGAAAGCCATAATTATGCATGCTTAAATGAATAAGCTTAATATAAGTACAGAATTGGGATTATCTGTAAGTATTATCTCTTTCTTCTCGAAATCTTTAAATAAAGTTTTCTCTCCGGTGTATGTAAATCTTCAAATTCATGGGTCTTCCCATGCACATCCATGAGGAATAGAAATAGAATGTAGTAAGAGAGGACAATTTATAAAATTTTAAGTAACAATAAGGATTTACGGAGGAGGATTTTGAGCTATCTGCTAAAACTCGCCCAAAAAGCAAATTGCATTCGATAAGATAATTGATAGTTTCCAAATGATTTTTTCCTGAGTTTATCTTACGTTGTCATTAAAGCACATACGCTGACTTTCTTTTCATGATGATTTGACAACTGGTCACAATTTTGTTTAAAAAACTCAGCAGGTGGCTTTAAAGAAGGACAGTTCTGCTTTGAAATATTCTTGGTAATGGGAGATCTTTAAATAGTGCTTTTCAGCTCTAGTCGACATGAATTAGAAGCCCTTAGGATACTTTGTCAGAAAAAAGCAAATGAAAATAGATCACCCGTAACGAAAGTGAAATAACAATTTATGCTCAGAAAATAAGCATTTTGAAGCTTTAGCCGAGATAAATTGCACATTTTAGACAGATTGCAAGAACCACTGCCTTTGGGTTCTTTAGAGCGAAGTAAAGCTTCTTTTTGCTTTACCTCCTCCATCCTTCGTCCTCTTCTCTTTCCCGCTGCTCAACTTCAAACATATCGAAGAGACCCAGCAATATTTAAAGGGGCAAGCTCCATTGGCATCACAATATCGTCTAACTTCGAAATGTCATACACATATAATTAAACACATACTGCAAAATAAAGATTGATTTCAAAATTTTCAAATAGTGTTGGGGATAAAACAAAACTAATTGTATCCAGAGGTATCCAAAAAACAATATGTAGTCGTAAGTGGAAATTTCTGGTCACTTTTAAACTTTGTAATTAATACATGAGACGAATAATAAAGCTTTGGAGACATAGAATGTTAGAAAAAAAAGTAAAATAGTTAGAAGGCATACAACTACCATAAAAATGAATAGAGATGTTTTCTTGCAAAGGGAATAAATTATATCTATTCAGCACATGACTTAATAGTTTCACCGCTGGCATCATGCCCTTTTCTGAAGTATCATTTGCAGTCGTATTCGGGTAAAAATTTATTCAACATTGAAGATATACTATTTATTATTATTATTATTATTGTTATTATTATTATTATTATTATTATTATTATTATTATTATTGAGTGCAATAGCCGGACATTCCTGATAATTAAGTAATAACAATAATAA